CTATGAACTCATTAAGTTCTTTTTGTTTGTTTACAGAGATAGGATAAACTTTGCAACTGATTGGTTGCACGCCTGGTGTGAGTTCGATTGCATGGTCCCATGGTTGTCTTTGCAGTAAAGAGTCAAAGTCTTCTTTGCTAAATACGTCGGAGTAATTGTGATAGTGACTCGGGACAGTATTTTCAAAGGTCTTGGCTTCGTGTTTCAGACTTTCTTTGATCGCTAGATCAGTGGCTGTGGTGCGAATACGTGCTGCTCCCATAGCAAAGTATGTTTCATGGTCTAAATGAAGATTCTATCCCCTTCTTCTAGGCGAGCCTCCAGATCACTGGGCTCTTCGTGATCGGCATCAATATCAATTAATCGGGCGGTGTATTTACAGGTAATCGGGCACCGATCAAACTGAATGATTTGTTCCTGCCAATCGATAGATGGATTGTGAATCTGTAACCACTCATATCCAAGGAAGATTGGAGTCTTCCCTAGATTGGTAATGGTGAACGGAAGTCTTTCAACGTGGTCCTGAATTTCCACCCTTAGTTCGACAAAGTCAGTGATGGCGCCGCCGGCGTTGTGCATGCCATCCGCGTTATAGACAGAGATTGGTGATGGCAGTTTCTTTGTAGCGATGTTGTTGTCGCAGACAAACTGCGCATCAATCGAAAATCCAGTGCATCCTGTATCTAATAACGCTTTGACTGATAAGCGCTGCTGCGTGTCCAGGGTGGTGATGATCATGGGGACGTCCATCTGTGTCCCCTTCCTTCCTTGGATAAATCAAGGCTGCTTTTGTAATTCATTCAAGAAGTCTATTGCTTCTTCTTCTTTCATTTGCCTGATTTGGTTCATGCAGGCTTCGGAGGCATCAACACTCTTCTTTGAGTGTACCCATTCAGTCAACAGTCTGAGTGCTGCTTTGTCTCTGCTGACTATCCATTGGCGGATCCATGCCGCTGTCCATGGGGTGTGGCGCTGCCACTGCGTAGATTCAGTCTGATTCAAGGTAGAAGATAATTTTTTATTCGGGGGAATTAAGCAAGAGGGTTGAGCCTCTCCGCGCCACTCTGCGGACGCCCCTTTTTCTGGTATATACATGGCTACTCCAAACCAAGAACACAGATAGTTTGTAAAGTTACGTTCAGTCAACTTGGCTACGCGCCCGGCTGACCGCTTGCAAAACCCTTCATAACCACGCAAATTTCTTTGCAAATTGCCGTCTTCCAGTCAAATGGTTCTGCCATCGTGGCAGGAGCTTTGTTGAGTGATGCAAGTGGCATGAATGTATTGGTGGTGGGAACTACCGGGGTTTCTGCGGCTCGTACCTGTTGAGCTTGTTGCCGATTAGGGCAATTTTGTGATATGTGGCCCTGTTGACCACATCAGAAACAGAGACCCTGTCGCCGCACCTGATCTAACTCCATCGGTTGTCCCCTGCCTCCGAAGGTGACACCGGTTCTGTCGCGCCGTGTCTGAACTGGCACTGTAGCAGCTGCTGGCACAGGTGCGTTAGTTTGTGCTCGCGATGTGTTCTGCGCCTGCTGCTGCCTTGGCTGGAACTGTCCCTGTTGTTGGGACTGTGGGTTTCTTCGGCAGTATTGTTGCTGGTTAAGGTTGATGCGCGCGACCCGTAACTTGTAGAGCGCGTAGATAGTTGGGAGTTCCTCCGAGGAGTTGTACAAAAGCTGGATGATATCGGCCCGGAGTGCTTTTTCCAGAAGTGACTTAAGTTCTTGGAAGTGCGCTTCGAAGTTGTGAATATTCGCCTGGAAGGCGCACAACTCGAACTTCGAGAAAAACTCTTGTGCCGATAGCATTCCCATCTGCATTGCTTGGAGCCGATCATATGATTCGGCTTGCTCGTCGATTAGGAAGTGCCTATCTAGGTCTTCCCACAGTGTTTTCGTGGTCTGTATTACGGCGTTTTCATCCGTGTCGTATTTTTTCATGAATGTGGCGACGTATTTGCCTGCATGTCCACCTTTCATGTAAGACAAAATCATGAGGACCCTGTCAAATTGTTCTGGTAGTTGCTTCCTTTGTGTGACTACATACAATTTCATTTGCGTCTTCCAAGCGATGTACTTGGATTTTGTGCCGTCAAAGGCGTCGGGTTTCATCGCGCTTCCATTTAGGAACGCGGCACTGTCTTGATTCTCGGCCATCGCGCCGAGATCGGATGGAGATGAAGGTGGGGTGGGAGAACGTCGGGAAGGTGGGTTTGATTGTTCAGAATCTTCTACCACTTCTTCCACGGGGTTTGGTGGACCCTCTGGTGGTGCTTCACTTTCTCCGAAGGCAATTGAGCGGAGATGGTCGGTGACTAATTCAAGAGTATCTCGTCTGGTTCTGGGTTCTGAACTAGATGCTACGGGTTGCGGGGTTGCAAGGGATTCCAAAGGTGCTCCTGTGGGAACTCTTTGTAGCAGTTCTCCACATAATCCTTCTCTGCACCGAGGACAACGACTGCTATTGTCCGGAGAATGTGGGCACGGTTGTTGCGCACAGTACCGTACGTTATCTCCATGTATGTGGATGGATCTCCCTTCTAGTTCTCGATGCGTATGTCCTCTGCAATTACAAGAAGGCATGGTCATAGATTGTCGGGTCTGTGAGGCTGATTGCAGCAAACCCTGGGACTAATCGTGTTGTAACAACCAGATCAGGGGTAGAACTTGCCAAAGATAGGGTTTTTTTGAAAAAGAACTGAAACGCTATCTTAATACAGTTCTAGAGATAATATAACAGCCCAAAGAGCAATTGCTTCTCTTCGATCCGATGCCCAGAAAGGGACCGTCGATCTAACTGTTATTGCTTTTCCGATGCCTGGCTGCAACCAGTTGCCACGTCGTACTCAGGAATATCCGCTTGCCTGCTGCAGAGCGTGTAACACCGCCTATGGTAGGGCAGAGCATGATTCTAATTGGATGGAGATCTGTCTAGCCGCCCAAGGGCTAGTGATTACAGAGGTGACTTTGGAGATGTGATGTGGTAAAAGTTGTGCAAGTGCACGGAGAAGGGTTCGAGGGGTCCGAGTCTTGATGTGGTAGAATTCGGTAGGGTTAGGAGTTAGGGTGAGAGTTGGATGTGTGTATCGGGTGGATTGTCGTGTGGAGATGGGTGATGGTTGGAGTGGGAGTGACGAGGATCGTCGTAGGGCAGTTGGTGGAGACTCGAGCTAATGTCAGCAACCAACAATCCAACTGGACTGGGCTACGACAAGGCTGAGGAGACAGACGAGAGGAATGGAGGTGAGTAAAGACCAGCTCGAGTCTGGCTTGTTATTGAGCAGTACGAGCTCCTTATATACATGTCAGACTGAATATCTAGAATATCCTACGAGTATACGGAGGTATATAGAAAGTGAAAGAATACTATGGAATCTGGGAGAACCATCCAGAATGTGTAATATTCATGACACCCCTCGCGGCTGAGCTTTGGGCTATGTACACGAGCCACCAGAGAGTCAAGCTTAGGTTGCATACTAGTTGTACCAACCACTCACACGCAGACTTGCCTTTGTTTAGGCATGGACTCTTCATCTGCGGCAGTGGCATGGGGTCCAAGGCTCAAAGTACAACTTGGAATGCTCTATATGCGGCACGAGTTGGTGAGCAGTCTCAAACCCGAATGTGTCAGCCACAAATTCAGGTTGTATAATCAAAATTAGACTCAGCTTTGTAAAGTCATGATTCAATCAATAGTCTCTGTCACACTCACCAGAAAAATACAGCCAGGCCCTATTGAGGCTCCTCTGGCATGACATTGAAAGGCTTGAGTCCATGTCCACAGCATCCTTAGCTCCTGAATAATTTGCAGAGCAAACTGTAGGATATATATATCAATGCGAAGCCAAGTCTGATATTAGAGGCGTTCAGAGTACATGATTCTAGAGGTGATTCTGGGATAAACCCAAGGTGATTCTAGAAATCATTTATCCCAGAATCAGAATCAGAATCACCCCCCACTCTGAATGCCCCCTTCAAGAGTGTGATTCTGAGCTAGTTCCTCAGTAAGCATAACTGTAGTACATCAACAAAGATAAGTACAGATTTCTTATGTATGTAATGTTCGTCTGCATTCAATTTGAGCATCTCCTCCACCACCCTGCTACTATTGGTCTGCTGTGTCTCCCAGTTGACATGGCTTGGTATACACTATGACAGGCATATACTCGCAAGCTTAAACAGGCTTAAATGCAGTACACAAAGGCCCGCCTCTCGATACTGAAGTACTATCATGGGTAGGGATGAAAAACTACAATTTAGCAAAGCATAAGCTATCCAAATATTTATGAGAATATATTTGTGTTAGAGTAGCAAGTCCAACAGAAAGGGTGAGAAAGGTATGACAGGCATGAAAGTGAATAAAACATGAGAGAATCACATGCAGAATCAGCTCCGGAGGTGATTTGACACCCATGTGTGATTCTGGCCCTCGCCGCCAGGATCACCTTTCCGGGACCCCAAAACCGTCTGATTCCGTGAGACAAAACCAACCTTGGAATCACCCTGGAATCACCCCCAGAATCACACTCTGAACTCCCCTATTTGTGTAAACATTCAGTCGGTCTAGACCCATTAATCAGATTTTATTTGGGACGGGGTCCTCACTCTGCCCAGGCGCTCGAGAGACGTTGTTCCGGGCGCATCCGTTTGCAATAGTGCATCCCCCTTGTTTTTGTCTCTGGTGTCCAGCAGATATTCATGCACATGCAGACGAAGTGCACTGACCAGAATAAAGTTAGCCGCCCCGTTCCCACGGGACTAATCTGGAATTTATCAAAGACAGTCCCGTGAATTTGGCCTATCCTGCTCGATCTCTCACACCGGTAGGTGTCTCTCAGAGAATTTAGCAACAAGCTCTGCATCAAACCCTCTGCTCACAGACAGACAGTGCGCACGTCAGCGTATTTAGTCACATGGAAGACACATCTTTAGTATACAAGACAGCTCTTTGATGATGATAACGCTAACGTAGACTACCGTTAACACACTCCAGCCATGTCTACCCTCGACGCTCTCGTGCAGATCATCGCCAATGGCGTCAAGGATATCCAGTCCAAATCCGCTGAGCGTGGCACGCCCTGGCCTACGCCAGACACGTCTCTCAGTCCCGAGAGCGAGAAGCTGCAAAGTGGCCTCGCAGCATCGACTGCCCCTGTGATCGCTGCTGCATGGCAGCTCATTGCGACGCTCAAGCATCCACAAACGTATTTACTGGACCTTGTACTTTCAGTGCGTATGCGAGTACCAGCCTGCAACAGCCTGCAACATGACTGACATTCGAGCAGAGCTTCCTTTCTGGCTCCATGTCCGTAGCAGAGGCAGCATATGTACCCAATGTCCTGCGCAAAGCAGGCACAAAGGTTGTGGGCATCCCTATCACCTGCCCTCTAAAGCTGACGCTCGCATAGGGCCTGCATGTCAACGACATCGCAGCAGTCAGAAATATTGACGCCGGAAAGCTAGGTTTGTGGCTGCTCCACAGAGGACCTTGCATCTGATGTAAACGACAACTTTAGGCCGAATTTTGAGACATCTTGCATCTCGACACATCTTCGAGGAGGTCGCACCGGACATCTTTAGGAATAACCGTATCTCTTCTGCTCTGTGCACAGGCAAGCCTATCCAAGAGATGCTGGGAAGCCCTATCAACAGGTGGGACGGCACAAATGGTGTCGCCGCCCTTGTCTCATTGAAGTAAGCCTCCCCGACTAAATCTCTATCGCATTCCCCTGAGACACCTGTAGCGGAGGGACAATCCAGCGTGGCAATGCTTTGTTGACGGAGCATCTCCTGGACCCTGCGATCGGGCATTCGCAGAAGCTGAATGAGGCTGCGTGGCAGCGCGCCATGCGTACAGACTTGGTCCTTTTTGAATGGCTGGAGCTTCCAGAGCATGCAATGGATCTGCACCTGTGCAGCATCGGCATGCGTGCGACCACGAGCTCTGATGACAATATCATTGCGACACGAGGCTTTGAGTAGGCGTCGCTTCCTTCAGACAGCCTCGTGATCAACATTGGCGGTGGGGTCGGCAGCTTGGCCATGGCTCTAGCAAAGGCCCACAAGCATCACCGATATGTCGCCCAGGACAGACACGCTGTGGTTCAGGAAGGGGAGCGGCTGTGAAAGGCAACCGTGCCTGGCTTTGTTGAGAATGGTATTGTACGACTGCAGGGTATATCGTCTTGACCCCTGAGTCACATTCGACTTCTGATACAAATTTTATGCCATAGGTCATGGTTTCTTTGCGGAACAGCCCATCACGGACGCCGATGTATTTGTTCTCTGGTACGTCCTCCACGACTGGTCGGACAAGTACGCGAGCAAGATCCTGTTGCGCCTGCGCGATGCGGCACAGCCGGCTACCAAGCTAGTCGTGATGGATATCATAGTAGACTACATGTGTCATGACTCTGGCGCTGTCGCTGACATTTCTGGCGCTACAAAACCTCAGGCCCCGGAGCCACTGTTGCCATACGCCGACTCGGCGGCGAGCTTCACGTACAGTTTAGATATCTCTGTGCGTACTGTGCCATATTCCTCTCGTGTACCCGCTGCTCACGTCACTCCTGCGCAGATGATGTGCTGTGCAAACTGCCAAGAGCGCACACTCGGACAATTCATCGAGCTCCTGAAGAGCACAGGATGGAAGGTTGAGCGGGTGTGCTGCTTTGAGCCTCCTCTTCCGCAGCAACTCATCTGCTCGCCTCTCTAATCTGTTCCCAGAGTTGTGTCATTGACTGTTCAACACACTGTATACCTTGCACTTCCAATTCAACTTGGTCAGATTTGGTACATGGGATGTCTTGGGTTGATGACCGAGAGTATTAGCTCTGCCGAGCAAAAGGCATTATGGTGGCCTGTTTGTATAAATATATAACACCTGATCAGTATAAAAATGGCGTCTGGTTACAAAATATAGACTCCATCATAACAAGCGCTGTTTACTGATACCTACCATTGTAACAAAAATAACTCAACTTTGCTTTTATGCAGTTATATTGTCGTAAAGGCCACCTCATAAGTGTCGTGTTGCCGCTTCATCCTCACTGTATTTGATCTTGGTTCTGGCCCTGCAGTAAGCGGCATGAATGTGCATAGAATTGGATACACCAGATATACCGGATATATGTGACCATTCCAACATATTGCATGTGATGCGCGGAGGCGTGTAATGCAAGATAGCGCAGCATACACAAATCATCGAGGCAGTAATGTGACAACATCGGAGGTCCCTTGACACCAAGGACCTGGTGGACTTTGTACCGCTGCTTCGCAGGGCTGATAGAGTGTGTGCAAGTAGATTTTACTTCGAACTTCGCTGATTTCAGCTCATCGTCTAGCACATTGAGTGAATATCCAAGCTATTTTGTGTCATTTTTCTATAACACATGTGCAGAGTGTATAGATGTGCAGTATATTAATACCGTAGCGTACATGCACTTCTCAGACAGCCATCTTAGTCATAGTTGTGTTTAGTCTTGTCAATTGACCACTGTGGTCACGCCACGTAGTGAGAGGCCAGGAGGGCACAAGGTCAAATAAGGCGGGGATAAAGTGGTCTTTACGGGGAGATGATCATATCAAAGCGGAGTTGAGTCATTTGTTACGGTGGTAAGTTCCAGTAAACAGCATTTGTTACGGCGGAGTCTAGATTTCCAACCCGTCGCTATTTCCATACAAACTGTGACCGAAGTAGCACCTTCACGAGACGAATTAGTTCCTCTTTTGTGTAAAAAGAGGTTCAAGAATATGGCACGTATTTTTTGTAAAAAGAGCTGAGCAGTTATTCTGGGGAAAAGTGGTGCTATTTGCAGCATGAAAAGGCATGCTATTTTTACAGCTTTTTGAGCATAAAAATAGTCCAAATATTCCCCATGTAAATAGGCCATTTAATCTTGTATATATTTTCTTGCAAAAGAGGTAGCTATTTTCAGCTTAAATAGTGATCGCCTGCTCATGCTATGCAGTCATACCATGAGCGGGCGATCACAGCGGGCGATCACTATTTTGTCCGAAAATAGGCACAAGAATAGATACCCTACTTTCCTTGGAAATATTTGAACTCCTCCCACACTCAAAAAAAGTCAAATAGTACACCTTTTCGTGCTGCAAATAGCACTGCTTCTTCCCAGGAGAAGTGTTCAGCTCTTTTTGTGAAAAATATCGTATATATTTTTGGACCTCTTTTTGCACAAAAGAGGAACTAATTCGTCTCGTGCTTGGCCAATCACACCCCCATCACGGACGAGATCAATTGCTATGGCGATCAGTAGTTGAGTACTGGTAAGTAGCATTTGTTACAGCGACGTCTAGGCTTCTAATTCGGCGCAGTTTTTATACAATCGGGCCGCCTGTGTAAGCTAGCTGCCAGACTCCCTTATGGGAGCTACCATCCAACGCACAGGATTACTCGTATCTTTAACCAGATGGCCTGAAAGTAAGTAAATGATTCCTTACTATTTATTAACCCCTTACATGCCCTGTTCCCAACCTTGCCCTTTATATACCCAGCGCTGCATGCCCCTGATCGATCCTGTTACTTCTGCTTACCCCACCCACGTTAGCACTCCAGTTTCATCGCTTGCGCCCGAGCCGCCGTAGGCGGCAAGAACCAGAAGGTTGCTCACAGACTTTATAAACAAACACATATGTAAATTTATATTTTCCGGAGAGTCACAAGAATGCTACCTGAGTGAGCATATACCAACCGCGAAAGACGCCAACCTCGAGAACAGCCGCCACGAGAATAACTACCGGGAGAATATTTATCGCGGAGCGGAGCGAAGCCGTCTCTTGTACCCATCAATCACTAAGCGTATTCTCACGGACGAGCCTGCTTTGGATGCGGACGTAAAGGTGATTAGCGGTCTGAAACTGCTTTCAAATAATCAAGTGACGCGTCCGCGTTTTTAGCACCCGCTATATTACTAGCTTAATTTTAGGTAAGCCTGCTTTCGTCCGTTCTCGCGGCCTCGCTCCTGGGCTATTCGGCTAGGCATTCACCCTCTGCAAGCAGTCGAAGCCTACTGAATATCAGAGTCATGCACTACACTATTGCCATTTGGTACAGTTAAGAAATGCACGTGTTGCAGCACTACTGTGTATGAATCGCGAAAGACATCTAAGCCAATGCTGCTATCAATTCGCGCCCCGCAAGACCAATCTAAGGCAGACGGTGTGTACGATTGTGGTCGCTCTGTCAAGCTGTAGGACTCACCTCAGATCCACATCTTGGCGGATATAGTACTCATCTTCCAATGCTCACGGTCTTATGCAACGACGCTGAGACCTCAGTCCACTAAGGCTATGCATGTCGGGCGTGCTGAGCCGCCTCGGAGATATCCTCTCGTTAGTTGTCTTAGTCAACCACGCGTCGCCGATCCGTGGCCACGGGTGAATACCGCTTTCGCCCCGCCGCACGAGAAAAGCCTTGTTCATTGTCCCTTTACGCGCACAACGTTATCGCCATGACAAGGCCGTCTTCAGCTGTGGGAGAGTTTAATAAGAAATGCACTGGATTGGTAATGTCAGAGCCCGTAGAATTTGCTATCTGCGTCCTGTGTTGCTCGCCGGTGGAGTACTTGACGGCTTACATTGATCCTTGGCTTACGGACAGAAGACATACGTGTCAGTGCGCTTAAGTCATGCTCTTAACACTGCAGCCAACACGTCCAGCAATGCTCTATATAACAAACGGCCTTTAAAGGATAGCAGCACCAGTGCAGGCCGTCTCTAGCATACCCTAGCCATGTCTGCTCTCGATGCGCTCGTACAGATTATCGCTAATGGCGTGAAAGACATACAGGCCAAGTCCGCCCAGCGCGATACCCCTTATCCTACGCAGGACACGCCCCTTGGGCCAGAGAGCGAGAGGCTGCAAAGCGACCTCGCAGCCGAGGCTGCGCCCGTCGTTGCTGCTGCATGGCAGCTCATTGCGACGCTCAAGCATCCGCAGTCCTACCTGCTGGATCTCGCGTTCCTGGTGCGTGTGCGAATCTTCACAGCCTCCAGCACAACTGACACTCGGCTAGTCTTTCTTGTCCGGCTCACTTTCTGTTGCAGAGGCAGCATATGTCCCCGACGTTCTGCGCGAGGCAGGCACAAAGGTTGTGGACATTCCTACCACCTGCTCTCTGGAGCTGACGCTCATATAGGGCCTGCACGTCAACGACATCGCGGCAGTCAAAAATGTTGACGCTGGAAAGCTAGGTTCGTGTTTGCTTCTCAAGTCTTCATGGAGGACCTTGCATCTGATGTAAACGACAACTTTAGGCCGAATTTTGAGATATCTTGCATCTCGACACATCTTCGAGGAGGTCACGCCGGACGTCTTCAGGAATAACCGCATCTCTTCGGCCCTGTGCACAGGCAAGCCTGTCCAAGAGATGCTGGGAAGCCCTATCGACAGGTGGGACGGCACCAATGGTGTCGCCGCTCTCATCTCAATGACGTAAGCTGTGCCAGACAAATCTTCGCCATAGTCTCCTGAAGTATCTGCAGTGGAGAGAATAACCAGTGGGGCAACGCCTGGCTGGCGGAGCACCTCCTGGACCCTGCGACTGGACATTCGCAAGAGCCGAACGAGGCTGCGTGGCAGCGCGCTATGCGCACAAAGCTGACCGTCTTCGACTGGATGGAGCTCCCGGAGCACGCACTGTACCTGCGCAAGTTTGGCATTGCCATGCGTGCGAATACGAACGCTGCAGAGGACGCCATCGCTACGCGAGGTTTTGAATGGGCGTCGCTTCCCGCGGGCAGCCTTGTCGTCGACGTCGGCGGCGGAGTCGGAAACTTCACTATGGCCCTTGCGAAGGCCCATAAGCACCTCCGTTATGTTGTCCAGGATAGACATGCGGTGGTGAAGGAAGGAGAGCAGCTGTGGAAGGCTAACATGCCTGACCTCATTGATCGCAGCACTGTGCAGCTGCAGGGTACGTGATCTTGCCTCTACACCACGACCTGTTGTGAATGTAACTGTCACCTGCAGGCCATGATTTCTTTGCGGAACAACCTATCAAGAATGCCGACGTATTTGCCCTCCGATACGTCACCCACAACTGGTCAGACAAGTACGCGAACAAGATCTTGTCGCACCTCCGCGACGCGGCACAACCAACAACCAAGCTCGTCGTGATAGACCACATTTCGGACTACATGTGCCGTGATTCTGGCACTGCCACCGACATCCCCGGCGCTGCAAAGCCCCAGGCTCCAGAGCCTCTGCTACCCCACGCCGACTCAGCGACGGGCTGGAAGTATAGTATGGACATTTGCGTATGTCTCCTGCAATATAACCTGCGTTTATTGGTTGCTCAAGTTTCTACGCAGATGATGTCCGTTGCGAACTGCCAGGAGCGCACGCTCGGGCATTTCATCGAGCTTCTGAAGGACGCGGGTTGGAAGCTCGAGCGGGTGTGCCGCTTCGAGCCTCCCCTTCCACAGCAGCTCGTGTGCTCGCCCCTCTAATTCGCCCTCAGACTTATGCTATCTGCTGTTCAACACATTGTATACCTATAGCATCGCATACCCATCTGCACATCCAATTCAACTTGGTCAACTTCGGTAGATGAAATGTCTTGCGTGAGTGTCCGAGAGTATCGGCCCTGAGCTTGCCGGGTAAAGAATAGGGGCGGAGGCCGATACCGTTGTGGCGTTCCGACGATCATAGGTGTCCGCGCATCTTTGTTCCTAGAATAACACTTTCGCAGACACGAGTCGCGCCAAAATTGACTCTCAAATTATATTCGATTGAAGAGTATCATCAAGTCCGCGGCCATGAAGAGCCCAGTAGCAGCCAGGAAACCGAGTCCGTGCGGGACCATAAAATATTCTTCAATAATCGGATATGAGAAGAAAGAATTGCGGCCGATGGTGACATGTAATGCTACAAAACATGCTATACTCGAGACCAACTTGTACAATGGATGTTCCAGCCTGCAGGACCAACAGCAGGCGTCAGACATATTAGGGACCGAGTGAGGAACGGCGAGGGAAAAGATGAAGCAGGTGTGACATAGAGAGCGCAAGAACCAAAGAAGCCGACGGCGACAGAAGGAAAGAGAAAAAGCAAGACGCGAACTAGAAGCCGTCGTAGTCGATGCCAGAACGAAGATCCTCAGCAGAGAAGCTATGGCGGAGCGGCGAAGGTTGAAACGTCCGTGGGGCACTCGCCACCTTGCGGTTCGCAAGCGAGCGCGTGCGATCACGGCGCTTGAAGACCATGTCTGCGACGAGGTGCGCGACACTCCGGAGCGACGTCCGGGTGTTGAACACACGTGTCTCGAGCTTGAGGTCGAGCAACGCGCCGAGCTCGCGCAGCCGGTGCTTCTCCTCTTTCCGCTCTCGCCTCGCCTCTGCGCGCAAGTCCGTCGCCGACCGGTACTCCTGCCTTCGCGCACGCATCACCGCTGCGTCGGCCACAGCCTTGGGCGGCTTGAGCAGCGCGGACACGTCCTTCACCCGTCGATCGAGCACGGCTTCGCGATCCTTCGCTTCTGCTTCTGCCTGCGTCAGGGTGTCATAGAACGCCCGGAGTTGCTGGTACTCGTGCTCCGGCAGATCTCTCAGCGGAATGTCCATCTGGCCGTCCAGAAGGTGGAGCTCGTAGTCTGACGGTGATGGCGACCGATCCAGGCCCGGATCGACGTCGAGACCGAGACCAGATGCCGTTTCAGGTTCAGGAAGACCCAGTAGAGCAGGAGATATGGTGCCCGTCAGAGTTGGATCTTCTACCAGGTCGTCCTCTGTCGGAAGAAGTTGCATGTGTGGTGATCGCGGTGACGAAGGAACGAAGTCGTCTGAGAAAGACCCAGATGTAGTGTTGTCGAATGATGGTTCGTCAAACAATGAGATTGGTGGCGGTCGTGGAGAATGCGATAAATATGAAGAAGAAAAACAACTCGATTCAGCCGCGTCTAGGAGCGCTGATTCCTGGGCGTTGAACACGTTAAGATTAAGAGATGGAGATCGAGGAGATTTCAAAAGATGTTCTTCGTCTATATCCATGTGGTCCAGATCGTGTGGCTCATCCCACGGGTCGTCGAGCTGTGGTGGCCTGGCTGGTGTTGAGGGTAGACTGTGCGGCATTGTGAATGCTCGGAGGGGTCGTAGCGAGCTCTTGTGCATCGCGGCCATGAAATCGTACGAGTCTTGTTGCGACGAGTCGAGCGAGTTGTTCCTCGGCTTGGCCTCGCCGAGTGGCGTATGGAGGTCGCGCATGAACCTGTGCTCGCCGTTGTCGTCGCCTCTCCAGTCCATCTCAGGGTCGTCAAAAAGAGGGTCGAGCATCGCACTATTGTTCCAGGTCGGTGTATCGGGTGTGAGCAGCTCTTGTATCGGTGAGTCACTCGCGACGTGGCCGTGGTGTAACAATGTGGCGCTCGAATGTTCGTTGTTGTTCCAACAACTCTGTTGTCTTGATGACGAAGCGACTCCAAACTCCGCGTATCCTTCTTGGCTACGGGGAGACCCTCGATCTGAATGATCTCGCTCGAATGGGTCGAAGGTTGACAACTGTGGCAAGTCGAGCATGTCAACAGGTGATGTCAACGGCGGAGACAATGGCTCCGCCTGGCGAGTGTTAGGGAGAGCTCGTTGAACCAGCTCGGGGGTGTCGAGTGGTGGTGACGGGGGTTGGGGGTGGCAACAGGCATCGTGTGACCCCGTGAACAGACGCGAGAGGGTCTGGCGGCAAGGCGCGGTGTTGTGGTCGGGAGAGTCCATGCAGCTCGAGGAACAGATGTCCGGCAAGCTTGAGGGTATGAACGGCGTGCCTGTGCGTGGCGGAGATGGAAGGTAGCCGTCGCTTCTGCTGCACTGGTGCGGTCGCTGCGATGGGGTGCGCGACGGTTCGTCCTCGTCCTCGAAAAAAATCGGGGACAAGGGCTTCAGAAGAATATGGTCGGAAAACGAGGGATATGTATCTTCGCGACAGGGCCAGTTATCTAGAAAGGCGTGCTCCGGCAAATCGTGCGACAGCAATGGCTGCGACATACGGTCGATGGACGATCCTTCGCAGACAAAACGGGTTCCTGACTTGAGAGACACAGTTGGGTACGTCTCCATAATACCAAAAGTCGGCAGCGCCAGCAAAACTAGCACTTTTAGGGGACGGCAGAAGGTCAAGGTTCGTCGGCAGTAACATGGTCGAAGAGCAAAAGCGTGCTTACAACAAATCCCAAGGTTTCAGTCCCAAAAAATCACAAAAACATCGGCCAAACGACACCAGCCAGACAATCAGACGCAATCGTGAGCGTTGAGGTGGAAATCCGCTGGGAGCATTCGCTCGCAACGTCTCAAGAAGAGGAGAGCTGGCGGTGGGTAACACGAGGAGGGGGTCGGGGTTATAAGACCCCGAAACCCCGCCCCCGCCTAATAGGGCGCCTAAGACGTGGAAGCGCGGCAAACCTCTGCCTCAGTTGCCATTGCCCTCAATGAACAGACGCATAGCTGTGCTAGACATGCTACTGCGTATGCTGCGCTCTCGATCAAAAATTCTCAAGATTTCACTTGCTCTATGTGAGCTGCTAAGTCGTGGATAAGCGGAGGGAGGTATCCGGGGGTCTGGCGTCTATTAGGGCCCTGGCAAACTAAACTCCAATTCCCTGGCTCTCATCTGCCAGCAGGTCGGCCGTAGCGGGCACGTTTTGGCAGAAGATCAGAACCCTCGAACAGCCTGGAGAATGGATCTTTTTCTCGCTCGGCACATGCTGAACAATCGGTCTGTTGCAGTCTCTGGCCCCACACGTCCTTGACGCCCAATTCCTCGCAACACGCCCCTCCAGCGTGGATTCTAGACAAAGCGGGCCTGTGTACGGCAGCCCCATTGTCCGTCCAACGTGGACGATGTGGTGATTGCGTGCGGGGTGCGGTTTTGTGCTGGCTGGATCGATCCGATTCCCCAGCACGAGGCCGCAGAACGTCCAATCCGCCGGAGCTTCTCCATTCAATGAACACCGGTGAGTCTCTTCGTTCTTACATGGACGTGGTGTACCTGGGAAGAAAGACGTCTTTTCTTACAGGTGCATGTCTGCGGAACAGAACAAATTCCTGCCGTCAATTATGACACGCACAGCGACGTGCATGCTCGTACGGCGCCGCTCCGACAGCCTGCATTGCCCAGACTGGGCCTGGACATCCCACGGACGCTATTGTTTACCGGACTGAGCTTGTAGTATAGCAAGCGCAATGCCCAAGGGTCCAGTGACCGGTGGAAAAACTAAGCCGTGTTGCCTAGGATAGTGTAGCCTTGCCGCCTATGGCAGAGCCTCGGAGCTCCTGCTCGAGATCCTATCAGTGTTCAGACCTTTCAAGTTTCAGTTTCAGGCCGAAGCACTTCCTATCGCACCACGCTTAAAGAGCATGATCCAAGGTGCGACCTTCGCGAACAGAGCTCCGATTAGAAAGTCCTTGTACATTCCGATCGTCCTACATATTGTATATTAGTATACAAGGCTAGCACGCGCCAAGTCGTGGGGTCTCGTTCTCACAATACGAGTAAATACCTCCTCCGGCAGATTATATGAATGAATGAAAAGATAGAAGGGTATCGCCAGGATATAGTATTACCTATCGATATCGAACCATAGCACCTACGCTATCCTACCCGTGCTCTCCAGGTGACCCGCGCTGGCCGTGTTGCACGCCTCGGCCGACGCGTTATGCGCGAGCGGCTCCTCACCGCGCGTGTGGGGCTGGAGCTCCTCCTGACGCACGTCGCGCTTGTACAGCGCGTACGTGCGGCACGCCTCCCGGCTCTCCGCCAGCCGCGGGTCGTTGAAGTCGTACGTGCAGATTGTGAAGCCGGGGAAGTTGTACTCGAACAGGTCCTTGAGGTTCGGGAGCAGGAGCGGACTCGGCGAGTACGTCCCCGAGTTGTTGTCGATCACGAGCTCCCAGGCGACGGCGTCGTCGGGCGTGTCGTCGCTGAAGCTCGCCCAGCCGCCCGCAGGACGCGGGTGAAACTCGCCAGAGTAGCGCACGTACTCGGCGCAGTTCGCGTGCAGCGCGTGTTTGGACGCGAAGTCGACGAAGAAGGCCGCGCCCGTCTCCGAGAAGCGGAACGAGTCGTCGTCAGCCGCGATAATGTACGTGTATACGGCGGGCTTGACTCTGTGTGCGGTCGGGCTGCCGGGCTTGCCGCCGTGCAGGAGGGTCATGACGTCCTTCGCGTCGTTAATAACTCCAAACCCGTTTGACGTCGTTCGCGCGTAAAGCATCCGGTGACCCGCCTGTATGGTTGACCGGATGGCGATGGACGTCGGCCCCTGGAAGATAGCTTTAGCTGCGTGATAGTTGACGTTCCAGTGCTGTTTCTCGCCGTCGCTGAAGAACAGTCGTACCCCACGGAGAAACATCTTCCACGTCGAATACAGACGTGCATCGTCCAGATTCGTTAAGCGGCCCACCGTAGGCGAGGAGTGCCGCGAAAACCGAATTGGACCGTCGAAGATGTACGGCCGCGCTGCCGCATCTGCGTCAGTGGATGGCGTGGTGTCAATCTGTGTGAACATCAGCATCTCTTGAAACATCAGGATGATATGAAGTACCTTCATGAAGAGTGTCCCCCGGTTTCTTCTGAGGGAAGGGCTCTCGAGAGTGAACTCCTTGGCCCCTGTCGTCACCGTCGTCTCGAAGCCACCGACGATGTCGTCAGTGATCGCGCCGTCGTCCTTGTCCATAACGACAATGTGGAGGTTCGCGATGCTTGGTACATTCTTCACCTTCCACTGCTCATTCCACACGGGGGTGAGCGTGTTTACCTGCACAGTCGATCTGCAAGACCCCTCAGCAGTGCGCACTGGTTCAGGACCTCAAGCGTTAAATACGTACACAAACTTCAAGTTGTTATCAAGCGTAGCAATTATATAGGGGTCCGCGGTGCCGACGATGTCCATCTTGGGTATGCCCGACGCACCGATGAAGACAAACGTCACGTCGACGTACTTCATCTCGACGCCGTGTCTCTCGGCCCATTCCTGGGCACGTCCTTGGGCCTGCGTCTTGGCATGGTTGAGGGAATGGCGCACATGACCGAGTATAGCTGACATCTGTAGTGGATTTCGCCAAGCCGGCATCAGGTTGTTAGTGGGTATGAATCGTACGAGTGTTTACACAAGCAATACGCGAGACCTTCGGCAGGATGTTTTGTACGGGGCCGAGCGGCGCCTTGTGCTGAGGCACGGAGCGGTGCTGTGGGCTGCGGTGGATTGGAACGCAAGCGGGCGGCAACTTACTGCTGTGCTAGCGCTGCGCTGCTGGAGTGGTAGGTGAAACCAAGATGCGGAGCGGTCCAGAGTACGGATCTCGGTCGTCGGAGATCACACAATCACGTTCCATATTGCTTGCTCTCGGAGCCGGAGTGGCCTGATTAATATTTACATGCATGCATGACAGCGCCAACAGACCCATGTGTCTTCAGCCAATGCTCAAAGATAACAAGTACGTCTAGTCTACGCAAGCTGAAACTTGTACGCTTAATTGTCCTTCAAAGTCGTAAAGCCTACATCTACCCAGGTTCGGAACCTATCACCATACTTGATGAGGCTCCACAATAATCTGTTGCGCCTGGTTAGCGTTGAATACGCGAACAACGAGGGTGCATCCTTACCCAAATCCTATCCATGCAATCACAGCAACGACGCCATTGGTAATTGCCACGCCAAATGTATCGATCGCCGGTAAGATAAAGGCCACACAGACGGCAATAACCACGCCGCGGAAGCACCTGCAGGGACGATCAGCAGGGAGCTGGGAATGTGAGAAATGGCACGCACATGCCCACGGCAGTTGCCTCTGCACTTCGGTCATGCAGGATATCGACAGTATATGTCGCCGAGGGCGACAGCACAAAGTCGACGCCAAGGCCGTTCATGAAGAGCAGCACCAAGTTCAGTATTAAGCCAACCTTGCCGGGGACGAACTGCGTGACAAGGCCCGAAAACAGTACCGAGCAGGGGACCATGACCGCCGCGCCAGGCAGAGCCGCACGTAAGCGATCTTCAGGGACCCATATGCCCCCGCGGCGTTTTCGCCACTTGACGACCATCCAGTCCGAGATACGACCTGTGAGGGGTGCGCCGACTGAGGGTTGGCACTGTCAGAATAGAAGGGTCTAGACTTGAGAGTAAGATGACGCACTAGCGTTTCCGATGCCCAGCGGGATACATAGAGCTCCCAAGAGAGACTCGTTATGTATGCCATATCGTTTACCCTGAACGAGATTTTAGTCGAGTTCAGGACACGTGAGAGCATGACCCACAATGGTGAAGGCGATGGGCACAATAAGAGCTGAAATCCTTTAGTTGCGGGGCTCCGATATGCAGATCACCGAGATCACTCACCGTAGTCAGTGAGAAGCACAAACGCCCCTTCCATCGCCTGCCACAGCCCAATCAACTTTCGACCCGGCGATCAGGGTAGATCGACGCACCAAGAACAGAACGTTCGGGCTGCGGAGCAGAGCCAGGCTTTTCAATGGGTTCAGCCACACCCAGCCGTCCTTCTTGCCAGCTTCTCGAGCCTTGTCGATGCCTCGTGCGCCTGGCTGACTTGTCTCTGGCTGTACGAGTAGCGTGAGGATCCAGCAAAAGATCGCGAAACCACATAGGCCAAATTGCATGCCCCTCCAGGAGTAATAGTGGGCTGTAGTTCCACCGACGAAAGGTGCGAGAGCTGCGCCAAGCAAAACGGCCTATACGTATCAGCGTTTAGGAGGACAGCAAAACAAAAGTCGGCCAGCGGACGTACCCCAAAGAAAATGCCCGACGCTGTCCCTCTTTCTTCCAGCTTGTAGATGTCTCCTATCACCCCTATACCTACGGAGAGCCCACTGGATGCGCCAAAGGCTTGAAGGACCCGACATACGAGAAGCTGAGGAACGTTCCGTGAAAGCGCAACTCCGAGGGATCCGACGGCTTCGATGGCTATCGAAGTCAAATAAATGGGCTTTCGTCCGTCTGATAAGCGCAAATGAGGAATGGAACCCTTGGAAAATGGCTGGAGACGCACAATAACTCGAGTATGTTGCCCACCAGAGACTTCCAAACGCGTTCGCGAGTATCGACAAGCTGACGGCGATGCTGTTCTCCCTCAGCCATCGAACAGCTCAAAAGCATGTTCAGGCACTTACTTGACCACCGTACCTGTAGTATTGAGGTCCTTCGCAATTTGGGGGATAGAGGGGATGAACGTTCCGGAGACAAACACTGCTCGATAGAGCAGATCACTGATTGGCACAGATCGTCACTCATGCCAATGCTGAACAACTCACGTGGAATCAGACCCGCCAATGAAATGAGCGCAACTATGACCCTTTTCTGCGAAGGTCTGAACCTTTTGTACACCTCTTCATGTTTCCGCACGTCGTCGTCCAGCAGCGGTGTCTCCTCGCTCGCCGTGGCTTCATTCGAGTCGGAAAGACTCATGCTGAAGAGGAGTACTGTGAGGGCCGACTCCCAGCAGATGGTGGTCGAAAGTCAAGCTAGTATGTAGCCGCAGTACGGGAGTCATTTTGTGGAAGGATGGCGGGAAGCGATGATAGAGCCGATACAGAAAAATGAGCTACGCTTCGCGCGCGCCGCTTTGAACTCAGACGCGTTACGCAGTTTTATCGCCGAAAAGAATGTCTGAGACGGACCACCTGCCAGCCGGGCGAATTTTCTCCAGTCATATATTACTCATAGATGTAGCAGCAGGGAAACGTGCTCTTTTCTCTCTGCCTGTGCCAGCTCTCGTCCGGGGTCGTCGAGGAGATGGCGTCCGAGGAGACACCACTACTTCGTCAAGCTGAAGAACAAACTCTCTTCGACCATGACAAGATCTACGACCGGTTTTCGCCCTCGCGAAAGCGTGTTATCGTGGCGGTCACAGCCCTGACGGGGACCTTTCCCAGTGCGTGTCGCACCATTTATCTCACAGCCTTGGCGGGCAGCTGACACCTGGCGCAGTGTTTGCGTCTGGGTCGTTCATTCCCCTGATACCTCAGATCGCACAAGACCTGTATTCTACGGGTGAGGTCGTCAGGTATGGCTGTCGCGGGTAGGTCGCACCTAGCATTGCTGACTGGTTCTGCAGTTTGGCCGTGAGCTTGTCAATCCTCGCCAATGCGATAGGCAGCCTGACATGGGCGGCCTACTCCGGGTTCTGTGCGTTACAAGAAATTCTCCGCGCCTCTCTACTGAATTATCACTGGATGACGCTTCAGATGGCAGAAAGCAGGTTATCTTGTGGTCCATGGCGATATTGGCCCTCGGGTCGTTTGGTGCAGGAGCGGCGCGCAGCGTTCCCGAGCTCCTCGTCTGGCGCATCATACAGGCCATCGGCGCTTCGAGTGGCCTCTCCGTCGGTATCGGCGTCCTAGCGGACATCTACAGGCTGGAGGAGCGTGGCCGCGCGTCCGGCGTTTTCTTCGGCGTGAGCTAATTTCATCTCTTGCACCCGCCATGCGCTGACTGATATGCTATAGGCCATTTTGTTCGGCATGTCCGTTGCTCCTGCAATCGGCGGCGTGACCGCGCACTACTATTCCTGGAGGACGACGCAATATGGGCTCTGCGTTGCCGCGATCGCCTCCTTCCTTCTGACGCTTTTCTTCCAGCCCGAGACTGCCTGGCCTGGTGCCCGTGGCGTCGACAAGCTCATTGAGAAGGAAGGAAAGTCGCGGTGGGTCTGGTTAAATCCATTCGGCAGCATCGGACTTCTACGGAGCCTCAATGTATCCTTGATAGTGAGTCATCGCGTCAGAGCGCGCGGGTCATCAGTCTTATGCTGTCTGGAAGTCCCTCTCGCAGGGACTCGTAGTGTTGACCGATTATGGTGAGGGCGACTGATCCTTCTCGTACCATACATGGTTGCTGAGACTGTCCAGTCCTGCTTGTTCCCATCGCCTACACATTGGTGAGTATGCACCCTAGGCGGCAGGAACCTCCCTAAGTACCCTAACCACCGGTCTACATTAGGCTGCCAAGTACCATATCACGAATGAAGCCATCATCGGCGCACTCTGTATCCCGGTGGGCATCGGCAACATCAGTGCGCCTTTCTCTGTTCTCTGCCACACCCATCCGCTAACATCAGACACAGTCGGCTCGACCTACGCTGGGCGCCTCTCGGATCATATGGTCATCTCCTGGCGCAAGCGGCGCGGCGGCGTGTGGGTGCCCGAGGACCGCCTGCGCGCGACGACGTTCGGCGGGCTCGTGCTCGCGCCGCTGTCGATCATCGGCTCGGGCGTCATCACCCAGTTCTGCGACGACAGCGTCACGATGATGGTCCTCAACTTCTTCTGCTTGTTTGTAAACGGCCTTGGTGTAAGTGCTGGCGTATGCTAATGGCTCCGATGCTGAGTATGCCGCTCTCGGGCAGGTCTCGATTGTGTTCAACCCCGGCAACGCGTATCTCGTCGATATCCTGCACTCGCGCAGTGCCGAGGTTACCGCTGCGAACATGTAAGTTCCGGTTCGGGCGTCTCAGGTGCTGCACTGTCTTACTCAGACCGGCATAGGGCGTGCCGCAACCTTGTCGTCGCCGCCACAGTCGGGTTCATTCTGCCCTCTGTCAACACCTTCGGCATCTTCGTCACTTTCACAGGCACCGCCGTCATCTCATGGATAGGCTATGGGTACGTTTCCGGGGATGCTTCGCTTTGCTCGGGCTTATGTGTCGGCGGCAGATTAACGCTTGCTGTCCTACACTACGGAGGGCACATGCGAGCATGGCTCGACCTCGGCTTCTCGACCGCTAAGACGAACTAAAAGATAAAGACTTATTGTATCTCAAGATTCACCCGCACCGGAGGTCCTTTACGACTTCATGACTTCATGCTCCCGTAACAGAGACGATGTAAAACACTTCTTTGGGCGACAATGGGTGGGATAGATAACCATAGAATGTGTCAGATGTGATTCAGGGGTACAGTGGCTACAACAAAGATTCCTAGATCAACCGGTATGCATAGACAGTTCGAGACTACAGCAGCAAGGAAATGCAGATAAGAGTACAGTGGGGTGTGATAGATGTGCACGCAAGTTATTGGCAACAACAGGACAATGATGGACAGGGCGGACAGGGTATACAGATACGGGGAGATTAGATTGCAGTGGAGGCAGCGGTGTTAACGAAACGGGGGTATTCAAACGCATCGGGGTCCAGCTCGTCGCGCAGGCGCTGCATCTCAACGCGCGAGTTCGGGCGGAGCCGGCCTTCCTCATCGAAGTCGAACGACTTCAGGCCCTCAATCGCGGAGTCGAAGCCGTCGTGGAAGTCGCTGAAGTCGAGGCTCGTGTAGCGCTCGGCGCCGCACGCCGGGAAGGGCGGGAGGGCGAGCTCGGAGGGCAGGGCGTCTGTCGGGAATGGTCAGTCGGGTTCAAGTAGAAAGAGAGAAGGGACGCACCTCCGGAGACGACGCCTTGCTCGAGCTCAGCCCAGTTGACTCTCCAGAAGAACGAGTGGCGCTTGATTTGTGCGATGGTAGGCCTCGCGAGGGGCTGCTGGTTCAACATCTGAATACTGGCCGTCAGCATCTCGTCTCTTTTCAGCGACGGTCAACACTCACAGCGCGAAGCAGGTGGCGCAGATGCGGGTCGGGCATGCGCGTCTGCAGGGGCAGTAGCACATTCCGGAGGAACACCGGTCGCTTCGTCTCCGTATCGTAGCGGACGAGGTGCTTCTTTTGGTTGGTGGCCATCTCGAGCACGACGACCGCGAGAGACCAGATGTCGGCTGGGGAGCTGTAGCTGCGTTCGTGGAGCGGAATCTGTGGATCTTCAGAGTCGTACACCTCAGGTGCGAGGTAGCCGAAAGTCCCCACCGCGCCGCGCAGCATCATGTCCTCGAGCGGAAGAGGGCAGTGGATCGCCAGCCCGAAGTCTGCGATGGCGAGGTGACCGTCGGTACCGATGAGGATGTTCTCAGGCTTCAGGTCGCGATGGACGATCCTGGTGTCGTGGAGACTGGAGAGCCCAAGGACCTGCGGTCGCAGTCAGTCATAATTTACGATGGTAAGGGGACGAGCATACGAGTTCAGCAGCGTACAACCTGACCTCCTCGATTGTCAACCTCCGGCGTTCTAACAAGTCATAGAGCGTCTCAGGGTATAAGGGCATGACGAAGTGCACGTTTTGCTCGTCGGCGAACGACTCGAGGAGCGGGACGAGAAAACGCGAGCGCGTGGCAGTCACGAGCTCCATGATTTTCTTTTCGCGTACGAGGCCCGAGCGGCCGACCTCATCCCGGTACTGTTTGTCCTTGTGAACGACCTTGATAGCGACCAGCTTTCCGTGCCTGTCGTTTGCCACCATGACCTTCCCGAACGAGCCCACGCCGCACAACCAGCGCAGGAGAAACAGGTTGTCTCCATGTACAAGCATTTTAGGCTCCGTATGCTCCGTGCCGGCGACATACCCTGGGTCAATGTAAGTTGTGGCGATCCCGCCCTTTAGCGCCTCAGCTGCAGACGATGTAATGGTGACGATTGACCGAGGACCGCACGGGATATTGGACCAGGAGACAGAACGTGGGAGGTCGACATCGTGTACATCATCAGCCACCCGACACTTGAAGCTTTGCAAACCGCTGATGTTCAGCGCACCAGCCTGGGATAAAGCACCATCCTCAGCGACGGCACAGTCGATGTCTTCCGTGGGCACAATTGCATGAAAACTGCACGGTTGGGATGGGCGACCAAGTGAGAGGTCATTCTTGAACGTCTCTGAGTCCACCGATTTCTTTGGTTCCGCGGGCCCTGAATGCCATGACTCTTGAGCGACGTCGGGCCACTGGAGCAGGCTGTCATCGTCGGCTGGTAACATCAGGCCATTATGAACGGGCGAGTTGGCATCGGAGGGTCCATATTCCAGTTTATTGCTGGGTCTCCCTTGAGTGAATGCACCGGAAAATCCGGCGAAATGGAATGCGCCACAACACGAATCCTGCGCCGGCACATCGACCAAACCATACGTCTCTGGTGTACGCAACAGCTCGTCATTCTCGGAGGTAGTATTACGTTGGTAACTGGAGAGTGAGCCGGAATACTTCGAACCAGGCTCGTCGTCGAGGTCTGACTCTTGCTCGGGAGGTAGGCTCAAAATCGAAGAGATCGCGCGAAGAATAGGTGGCTTGCCGACGATATTGTGGAGGGTATCAGCACCGAGTCCGACGTTTGTGGCGGCGCGAATTCCGCACCCAAAATGCAGCTTGCCCAGTGCTGTCCAGTCAGAAGACCGCGTTGCGGGAGTGGGGGGTTCGGCCGACACGTCCTCGACGCGGGAGAAGAGGCGGAGAAACCAGGCGGAGATGAAAGAGTGCAGAGACATGGTGAGGAGGAAGTTAGAATGTGGCGTAGGGCTCACTGTCAGCTTCGGGGGCTGGGTAGAAGTGGGCGTGCTCTTGCTGACGAGAATCTGCTCGCGTGAGTAAAATATTGAGGCCACAGTCGACTGCAGCTGGCAAAGAACACTCATGGCGGTTAGACAAGGACAGAATGTTCGGGCGCTACATCAGAACGGACTGTCTAAAACAGGATGGTCAATGGGGTCCATCCACATCAAGAGTGAAACAGCTAGTTGCTTTTGCCCGGCTGTGGCGATGCCTTCAAGCTTTTGTCACTCCTGAGGCCCGCCTACGATCTGCAACGATGGGGAAACCCACATAGGTAGTCGCAAGCTGCGCCATTTCTTTCATCTCAGCGTGACTACTCATCGTTTGATATCTGTAGCTCCAGGCGTTGTTACCAAGATAATTTCCCCTGTTGACTGTATACTTATGGTCATAGCTGCGACAAGGGGAAGAGATGCTTAGCGTAAAGTCAATGCTTACTTGTTCAGCTTGTCAACACATGACACAGGAATCGTTGAGTTGGAGCCATTTTACGGGACCCAAATATCGGTGTCCCGGATAATGCCGAAAGATCAGCCGAACCAAACCGCTGGCATCAGGACGCCGGCCCGGTAACTGACGCCAAGACGGCCTAATCTGAAGGCTCTGAGCAGAGGTGAGCTTTGCGACGGCGAGTATCCACCGAATCGACCGATATATATGGGGGGTCTACGGGCGCTGGGAGCCACATCACCCCTGCGGGGCCAAGTCCAGCGCTGTTAGCTACCGACCTTCTGTTGTGAATGGAATTGCGCGGGCGGGGGATTCACGAGTAATCAAAGATAAATTCTAAGAATAGTATTACATATTCTTTTATATGTTTTTTACTTCCTAATCTACTCAGTCAACTACAGTGTGCGTTAGCAAGCTGAGACTAGGGAAAACATAGCGGAGAGTGAACCGGCGCCAGTGCGCTCTGTGCGCGTCATATCTAAACCTTGTGTGCAATAGGCTGACGCTCGCCCTGCCGAACTCGCGAAGCAGGATATGCGTAGCATAGTAAACAATTTAATAGAACATAAATATAATTTGTAACAAGTACAGCATCGTAAGATCACTGCATGTGTTGAAAGGGAGTATGTACACCGTACGCGCGAAACAACTAAACATGCACAAAGGGGATAACGACAGTCATATGACTTGTCCAATGCCCGGCAATTGGGTCATGGCAAGGGGTCCCGCTGCCGCAGGCAGCGAGGACCCTTGCCGGGTGATTGCCCAGGGTTAGCCAGGGCGAGAGAGGGAAAAAGAGGGGGAAGAAGTGCCCGGGCACCCTCCGGAGCTCCTTGCTCGCGGGAGAACGGCTCTACGGGGCCATGTGCGCCGGACGGCGGCGCACGAGCGCATCTCGCCCAATCGGGCAAATGCGCCCTCTCGCTCTGTAAACTAGCTTGATTTGCATCTTTGCCAATGTAAAGGCGCGTTAAAATAATGTAGATGCATTTGGAGTGTGGCTATAGCATTTAAATAGATCTATCTGCAATTTTACAAGCCATTTCGAGGTTTTTAGCACACATTTTGCGGAAAATGCGGAAAATCATTCAAAAAATATTTTATCGGGTTTAAAGCTCGGTTTACACGAGTCGAATCAAAAGAGATCTCGTCTGCACTCCCTCTCTCCCGCGCTGGAGTCTCAACCTCCGTATCGTTGATTCGACAGCCCTCTAGCCCAGCTTTGCGATGTTTGCAGCTCATAAAACAACAACATCACATTGCTACAACAGTTGAAGGTATACAATGGGGAGGGAAACAGTCAGGATACCACTACTTATCTCGGTGCTGTTGTCACTTGTCAAGCTGCCATACGTGCTTCTCCGCCAGCCTGATTTCCTGCCGAGATCGCAAGGACCAATTCCTAAACGTATGCGACCCATCACGGTCACCCATTCACTTTTGCCCAGCTACCACTTTGTTTCCAATGTCGCTGATGTGTGTGCCCTGAGGTAAAGTTGGCTAACAGCACAGTACCAATGATCCGCAATGCTCATCCGCTGCTCAACACGACCTTTGTCGACACTTCTTCCCGCCTACGAAGCAGTCAGTGCCCCACAACATCATGAGGGTACGAATATGAGATCATCCCGTCGAATCTCGCGAGATCAGCAGTGTCCTGGTCCTGTTGACAGATGGGCGCATCGAGTGATTCTATCAATCCCGCTGATTCCGCTTATGGGAGGGGGCGCACTTGCCTGAAGTTTCATACCGTGAGCAAGTCATGCTGTCTTCAGCCATTTTCTGTACAGGCTCAGTTTGAACTAAACCATGTCGCTGTCCACCTCGTTGAAAGACAAGCTTGCACTGATCACTGGTTGCACGCAAGTCAATGTCAGTCCGTTGCGAGAGGCATCACTGACTCACGTATCTTAGAGGCGGCATAGGCTTGGCGACTGCGAGGCTACTTGCACAGCACGGATGTTCTATCGCCGTGCATCACTCTTCCGAGTCATCTCAAGTTAAGGCCGATGAGCTTGTTGCCGAACTGACTAAACACGAGGGCGTGAGGGCTGCGGCTTTCCAAGCAGATCTGTCGACGTATGAGGCCACGAAGAGGCTGTATGACCAAGTCGTTCAGAAACTAGGTAACCCGGCTATTCTGTTTGGGAATCATGGCGCAGCTTTCAGCAAGATTGGGCCAGCTGGTGATATCAGAGCTATCAGTCCTCAAGAGTTCGAGGAGACTTGGAGGTTGAACACCGGGACGAACTACTACGTGGGAGATCTCGCTTCCAAGACTAATTAAATAACTCGTTAATTATATTGACAGCTCTGTCAACTCTGTGTTCCCAACATGGAGCAGCAGAAGTGGGGCCGCATCATCTTGACTTCAAGGTAAATCCAAATTTCCGCTCGCTGAGATCATGATTATCACACCCCCTACAGCGTAGCTGCTCGTAAGTATCGAGCATAGTACCAGGTCCAGACTTGTGTTTACTGCCGCCGTTGTAGTGACTGGAGGTGTCATCGGCCCGCACTACGCCTCCTCAAAGTCTGCCATGCACGGACTCATTCACTGGTTGTCCCTCCGGTACGCGAAAGACGGCGTCGTGAGTGCTTTCGCTTTGATCGCGGCCATGGATGTGACTAACGCGGTGTTCAGTGCAGCAACGCTATTGCGCCAGCTCTGATTGAAGGTGCATAGCTTCTATTTCTAGCGCACGCATATCTCAGTTGGTATGTTCCTAGACACTGCTATGATGTCGAACCCGTCACCCGCGGTTCGAGCCAATATTCCGATTGGCAGACTGGGAAAGCCAGACGAAATCGCTTCCATTGTCCTCATGCTCGTCCAGAACGGCTACATGACCAACAAGGCGAACAATTTCTTCTGCAATCGCTTGTCTTAGCAGTCATTGACATCGCCTTTAGGTCATCTGTGCCGACGGCGGCTGGACTGGCGGAGGCCTGTAGACCATGGGAGCAACCAAATGAATGACCAATATACAGTACTGCTACAATATGGTATCTCAGCCCTATATACTCAGATAGCAAACAACAGAACAGAATGGAAAGAAGCGACAGCATGCATACGATGGCAGAAAGCGCGGAGGAAAGAAAAGGAAACCGATGAAGCGCGGAAATGGAAGGTTGAGAATAGTGATGAAGCATGCGGCGACTATGACGATGAAGGAGAGGCGTTCTTCGAGTCCCGGCTCAGACCTGCTTTCTCGACGATTTCGTTGAGCTGCAGTATACGCTTCTGCGCAAGCTCAATCTGCCGTTTATATTGCCTACAAATAGAAAGTTAGCCCCGAAACACAGTCCATTGAACATGGAATACGGACCTCGCCTGGGTTTCGAGCTCAACTGTACGCTCCTTTCCGCCTTGCCTTTCGCGCTTGACTTTCTCCTCTGCCACACGCAGACGGGCCTCGTACTCCTTCACGCGGACCTCCCACTTGTTGTCCGCAACCGTCGTCTTCTCGTTCATTGCCGTGACCTTCTCCTCTGCAGCGAGTAGCTGGTTCTGGAGGTTGACGATACGGCGCTCCGCATTGTTCGCGCGGGCCGTCAGTGCGCGCACTTCCATGGTGTCTGCGGTACCCGTCTTGCGGCCGCTGTTGACCACGCCTTGGAGTTCGTTGTTCGTCGCCTTGAGCGCCTCTACCTCGCCCTCTTTAAGCGCCAGCTTCTTGCGCCACGCCGTCTTGTTCTCCGCGAGTGTCTTCACGCTCGTCTCGAACTTGTCGAGCTGCCGCCAGCGCGCGTCGAGCTGCTTGCGCATATCATTCATCTTGTCCGCATACCGTACCTCGGCATCCTTGACGCGCTTGTCAAAATCGAGTTGAATCTGGCTAAGCTGCTTCAAGCGGCTGATCAGGTTATCGTGGAAGACGCTGAAGTTCGTGAACGGCTTTGTCTCGGCGGCGCCATTCTTCTTCTACAGAAATGGTCAGCGATATTGCAGATACGGAGGTAAAAGACGCACTGGTGTCTTGTCGATACCAAGGATCTTGTCCATGTACTGATAGATCGTCAGCAATAGTGTGTTGCGCTCGGTGAGCTGATCACGGTATTGCGTTTCTGCCGTGAGCATTGACCGCTGGTCCTTCGACATCCGCCCCTCGAGGTCCTGCACACGGGTACGGAACGTGGTCACGTCCGCTTCGGCAGTTTTCAAGCTTGTCTGCACGGCATCGAGCTTCTCGGTGACGTTCAGGCGCGCCTGAGTCTGGGCGGCCAGTTGTGCGGCGAGGTCGCGGTTCTCGGCGTGCAGACGATCAAGCACGCCCTCACGGTCGCGTGTCTTGCCGTCGCGATCGTCGAGTTCCTTGCGTGCCCGCCGGAGCTCGTCTTCGAGTCGTTCCAGATCGCGCTTGAGTCGGTCGACCTCGAGCTGTAGTGAGAACCGCGCCGTCGTGTGCGACTCGCCAAGCTTCTTGGACTCTTGCTCGAGCGTCTGTAGCGCATTTTGCACCTGCGCAAGGTCGTTCTCGCGTTGCGCAAGCAGCGCCTGCGCGTTCGAGAGATCGTGGAGGGCAGATTGAAGGGCAGAATCCTTCGCCTCGAGGGCGCGCTTCGACTGTCTGCCAGACTCGTCCAGTTCGCGCTGAAGTTTTCCTTGCTGAGATTCGAGACGTTTGCTGCTGGACTGCTCTTTCTGTAGTTCGGCGACTAGCTTTTCGATATGTTGCACAAGCTCTTCCTGGTTGGCCTGGGATTGTTCTGCTTCGCTGCATTTCCGCTCCAACTCGTCCTGCAAGTCTTCGAGCTGCTCCTTGAGGCCTGCCACTTTCTACGAGGCAGTTAGCATTTGCGAAAGCAGTCGATAACAATAGCCTCACCTCTTTAAGAGCAGTGGAGAGCGCCTCCAGCCTCTCGAGTTCGACGGCATCCTCTTCGCGTAACTTTGCACTTTCCTCCTTCAGTCGCTCGTTCTCGTCTTCGAGTCGGTATACTTGATCTCCGAGACCCTGTATCTCCTGGTTCGCCGCAGCAATTTCGCTGTCCTTGTCCTCTGCCTCTCGCTCCTTATGCTCCAGGGCGAGCTCGAATTTTTCGACAACATCGTTCATTTCCGCCTCGAGGTCGGTAAAGGCTAGGCGTAGCTCTTTGGACTCTTGATCGCGGCGCTCGAGTTCCTACAGAACACAGCATGGGTGGGTATATGCAGATAAACATCAGGGCACTCACGTCCTTGAGTTCGTCCACCCGACCTCTAGCTTCCTCAACCTCGCCTCTCCATTCCTGCTCGACTTCGCGGACGATTCGTTCATGCTCTGCGACAATGTCCTCAATCTCTCGTACCTTGAGCTCCACCTCGTCTTCCTTCTGCTGAACCTCGATCTGGGCGGCGGCAAGTTTATCGCGCGCTGCGGCCAGCTCCTCTTCGACGGCTTCCCGCTCTTCCCGTTCTCCGAGAATCATCGCGCGACTCTGGCTTCGCTCGACATTTTCAGCTTCGCGTCGCCGCTCGAGGTCCTCGAGCTGGAGCCGGAGCATCTCGACTTGGTCTGCGAGCTCTTCCTTCTCCTCGTCCTGCCTCACCGCCAGGTCCTCCTGCTCGCCCAGGTGTCGCTTCAGCTCCTCGTTCTCGTCCTCGAGCTCTTCTAAGTGCTTCCGCAGGCGGCCGCCGTCTCCACTGCGTTCGTCTTCTCGGCTCTCGACGATCTGCTTCAGCCGCTCCATCTCTTCTGCGTTGTCCTCCAGCAGCGTTCGTACGCCTTCCAATTGTTCCTCGAGTTCCATGTTACGCTCCTCCAGCTGAGCATTTCGCGCGTCGAGCTCGCGCATGACATGTTCGTCTGCACCACCGACGCGTCGCCTTCGTAGTTCGCTGAGTTCGCGATCGCGCTCCGCGAGCTTCTCCTCGAGATACTGCACACGCGACTCAGAGGAGCCTGACCCGCGCTGCAGACGTTCGAGCTCGCGTTGTGCCTCGAGAATGAGCTTCTTGAGCTTCTTGATCTCCATGCCGCGCTGCTGCACCTCGATCTTGAGGTTGATGTTCTGCTTAAGGGCCTCGTCGATCTGGTCCGGGGCAAGCTGCGCGAGGCGTTCCTCGAGGAAGTGCACTTTGAGCTTGATGTTAAAGTTCTCCTTCTTCAGGCTGTCTATGTGCTGTGGCCTGGGTGAGGGGCGGCACGTAAGTAATACGCAGACCACGCACCTTCTCCTGGTCGCGCAACGTGAGGTTCACGCTCCCCTTCCCCGCCGCGCCTTTCCCGCGTTTCGTGCGTTCGGGGGCGGGGGTCGCATCTATACCGTCCTCCCATTTCTTCTCGCGGCCTGGCGTATCGAGCACGTCGTCGTCTGCCTCGTCTATCGAATCATCAAGACCTCGTCGTCTTGGAGTCGGCTCCTCGAGTCGCCTTCGTGTAAATTGTGCAGCATTCGGCGGAGACGGCGTCGCGATGGGCGCCGAAGACGCTGCCGTCGACCCTGACACTGCTCGGCGAGCTGGTGTCAAAAAACCAGACGCGAGTGAACCGAGTGAAAGATCAGGTTGGCTGCCTATGGACTGGAGAGACGTGTCTGCGCGGTTCATTGCCGCAGACATAGCAGACCAGTACTGGCGGTTTGCATGCACGCCGTTGTGAGTGGCGTGTGAGTGGCAGGGAGATGTGCAGACCGGACAGTAACGTGGTCCGGGTTCAAGTGCAACCCTTGGGCTGCAGTTGGCCGAGGCGCATCAATTGATGAGATCACTGCCGTATTTCACTAAAAGCAGGCATTGGGCGCGTCAACGAAGGGCGCTTCTCTTGAGCATTCGCTGAGACGGCGTCGCATTCGAACGCAGACCGACACAACCATGACTACGTTTTATCCTCATAATTACTCACGCACAGACTGCAGGTTAATTACATGCCCAATCCGAAACGTTTCACGTTGGATATTATACCCTGCCGTGTGGCTGGTGTTGGGAGGTACGTCCGAGTCGACGACGATTACCGGCGACAGGCCAACGGACGAAATCCGCAAAAGTCAGTTACTCTCCTTTGGTTGACAGAACTAATTTTCATGTGATGACTGGATCTTACAGGTTTTTTTCTTGTCCTTTATTTGAGAGAAGCTGCGCGGTGACTGGAATTCAGCTGGGCTGATTGTGTTCGAACCAGTCGCAACTCATCAGGCAGCTACATTCGCATTAAATCTAGCTGGCGACTGTATTCCCTCACCTTTGCCGTAGGATGCCGCGTCCTACGCACCTGTAAGTATCTCATCATCATCTTGTTCTCATTGCAGATGCCATTCTTCCTGCCAATAATTCGGCTCTCCTGCGATCTCATATGTTATGATCTCCTTCCTTGTGTCCTGTGATGGACTCCACACTTTCTCCAGCTCTTACCATGCGGTTGTAAACATTATTGAACACCCGGGCATGGTTCGGGTGAGTGCCTTGCGATGCTCGGGTTACTTCCGTTGCTCACATGACTGGTGATGTAGACGAGCCCAAGCAATCTTTTGGTCCGAAAGACTGATTTCCCTGTCGTGACTGTACACAACTCGTGAGGCAGTCTGGGATCTCCATGCGTCAAGGGTACCACCTTTATGGAATTCGTTACCCTCGCCGTCTCGCTTCGTTATGCCTCGTGAGTACCTCTTTCTTACAATCTAGTCTAAATTCTGCACGCAACTTATGTCATTTTACTAGAAGCAGACTGTGTGGGATTGATTATCGGTCGGTCCCCAGTCGATAGCAGGAGTCGCCCACCACCGGAGCTCGGCAGCCGATGCGACGCCTCGGATAAACCTCGGATGTCTCGGAATACGTCGCTCAGCTGGTTCCTTGCTTTGCGCCTGCTCTACCAGACCTCCCCAGTCATATATAGGCCAGAACTTATGGCGAACCCCCTCATCGCCTCCCCGGATTGCCGTCTGATAGGCGACTCGATTTTTCTCACTTTCCATCCATATTTCCGTCCCAGACCGACATGCCGCCCTCTGATTTTGCCAAGGCAAATATCGACGAAGTTGTCGAACAGCTAACTACAGACGAGGCAATCCTACTCACAGCTGGGGTGGGATTTTGGCACACTCACGGCGTACCGCGCCTTGGCGTCCCACCTCTAAAAGTCAGTGATGGACCCAACGGTAAGCTTCCAATACCTTTTCTTCAATATGCGAATCTAAACTTGCAATAGGTGTGCGAGGCAATCATTTCTTCATGAGCACCCCTGCGAAATGCCTGCCATCGTCCACTGCCATGGGTGCCACCTTCGACACTGAGCTCATCGAAGAGATAGGCCTCAAGCTACTCGCAGAAGAAGCCAAGATCAAGGCTGCGTCCATTCTCCTAGCGCCGACCTGCAATATCCAGCGCAGCCCACTCGGCGGTCGTTCTTTTGAATCGTTTTCAGAAGATCCTTACCTCTCCGGTATGATCGCCGCAGCCTACGTCAAGGGTGTCCAGGCTGGTGGCATCGCCACAGCAATCAAGCACTTTGTCGGTAATGACAAAGAAAATGATCGGATGGCGTACGACTCCATCATGTCTGAACGCGCTCTGCGGGAGATATACCTCATGCCCTTCATGCTCGCTGAGAAGTTTGCTCAGCCATGGTCCTTCATGACTGCGTAAGCTCTCCTTCATCAGATCATCGCGAACGCTGAGCCTGATTTTTGTCCGCAGCTACAACCGAGTGAACGGCACACATGTGTCAGAGAATCCGTACATCATTCGGGACATCCTCCGGAAAGAATGGGGCAGCGATGCGCTTGTCATGAGCGACTGGTTTGGTGTGTACTCCATCGACCATGCCATCAACGCCGGCCTCGATCTTGAGATGCCCGGCACGAACAAGTGGCGCACCCTCGACCTCATGAACCGCTCGTGCGTCTGTTTGTGGCATGTCCTTAGATTAAGCAGACTAATGAACCCTGCGCAGGATCCAGAGCCGCAAGATCACCGCTCGCACTGTCAAAGAGCGCGCCCGGAAGGTGCTTGAGCTGACGAAAAGATGCGCACAGGAGGCTCCAGAAGTCCTCGACGGCGACGGCGTTGAGCGTACTAGGGAGTCAGAGGCAGATTCCACCCTGATGCAAAGTTTGGCTGCGCAGGCAATCGTCTTGTTAAAGAATGATGGCGCTTTGCTTCCGTTGAGACCAAAGGTACGCGTCTCTTATATGACCAGCATACACAGATTAACTCCAAACGTACAGGAGCAAGGTCTCAAGAAGATCGCAATCGTCGGCGGTAATGCCAAGGCTCGAGTGCTTAGCGGCGGCGGCTCCGCTGCGCTCAAGCCCAGCTACTTCATCAGCCCATACGACGGCATCGTCAAAGCAATTCATGACATCGATTCGAGCATAGAGGTCACGTATTCCGAGGGTGCTAGAAGTGCGTACTCCCTCTGATTTTGATCTTATGTTCGTTCTTATCGACGATGCCACTAGCTTACCGTACCACACCAACATTGGATTACGACCTCGTCACCGAGGATGGCAAGCCCGGCTGGACCGGCTCGTGGTTCGCCCACGAGAGTGACGAGTCCATGACTCCCCTCAAGGAACCTCTCAAGACCCAGTACGTTGACGAGACTAGGATTTTTGTAAGGTATGTTGGATGCACTCGCATATGGTTTGAGTCTCACGCTTTCGCAGCACGTCCTACCCAAAAGATATTACCAAGCGCTGGACCCTCCGGCTCGACGGTCAGCTAAAGCCAAGGGACCGGGATATGCTTTTCGAGTTCGGTCTCATTGCCTCTGGGAGGGCGAAGGTGTGATTTCTATCACCGCGAACTGCCGCAGATGCTGATAATCCACGCTAGCTTTTCGTCGATGATCAGCTCGTTATCGATAACTGGACGAAGCAGCGCCGCGGCGAGTTCTTCTTCGGCTGCGGAACCGAGGAAGAGTACGGCCGCTTCTCGCTCAAGGCTGGCGTTTCGCACAAGGTTCATATCGAGTTCTGCAACGTCCGCGCGCCGGCGGATGGGGACCCGAACGAGGCCGTCATGGATTCGAACCCCGGCGTGCAGCTCGGCGGTGCGGAGGTGCGCGACCCAGATGAGCTCCTTGATAGTGCGCTGCAGCTAGCGCGCGAAGCGGATGTCGTCATCGCCGTCGTGGGACTGAATGCGGAGTGGGAGTCTGAAGGCTACGATCGTACCACGCTGGCGCTGCCGGGGCGCACGGACGAACTCGTCGCCAAGGTGCGCGCGGCGAACCCGAAGACGGTTGTCGTCACGCAGAGCGGCTCGAGCATCGCGATGCCGTGGGCGGACGACGTGCCCGCTATCGTGCACAGCTGGTACTCTGGCAACGCGACGGGAGCTGCACTCGGCGATGTCCTGACGGGCAAGGTCAACCCGAGCGGCAGGCTAAGTTTGACGTTCCCCAAGAAGCTCGAGGACGTGCCGAGCCACGGACACTTCCACTCCGAGCATGGAAAGGTGCAATACGGCGAAGATCTGTTTGTGGTATGTCCTTTATCGAGAAGCGTTGGTATCAGCACCGCTCACGAATTCTTGTAGGGTTACAAGCATTACCATCACCGAGGCATCTCGCCTCTATTCCATTTTGGGTGCGTGTAGTTTTATTGCCATTTCATTTATTGACGTTGATATACTGTAGCTATGGCCTCTCGTACACGTCCTTCGAGTATTCGAACCTCGAGCTCTCGGAACCAACCTATTCCAGCGGCGACCTCTCCGTAACTGCGACCGTGACCGTCACGAACACGGGCTCAGTCGCCGGCGCCGAAGTCGTTCAGCTCTACGTCTCGCTGCCGACAACGTCCGAGCTAACGCACCCGCCTCTTATGCTGAAGGCCTTCGCGAAGCTACGCGACCTCTCTCCGGGCACGAGCGCCACTGCTGCGCTCAAGCTTGACAAGTACGCCGTGTCGTACTGGGAGGAGCGTATCGCCCGCTGGGTCGTCGAGAGCGGCGAGTATATTATCAGGGTTGGCAGGAGCAGCGCACCCGAGGATTTGAAATTGCAAACGAAGCTCGTTTTGAAGAAGGGCTTTGAGTGGAACGGAGTGTAGACTTGCGTTGTGCACTGAAGTGTAACTCCTGACGTACAAATATCACGAAGTCGCTTATCTTGTCACTCTTCGACCGCGTCTTATGGTCCGACCCTCTACCTGCGGCATTCAAATTCCGAACTCCTCCGTCCTCGAGGGGTGCACGAGAGACTGCCCTCCTTGGTACGTCAACATAAGAACGGCAAGTGGTAGGTCGAATCACAGGCTTTACTATATAAGACTCAATACAAGAAACATTTCGCTCCGCTCAAACCTCGCGCATAATCCGTTTCCCCTGGCTCACGCTCGCCGTCCTCGCTATTTGCGGCTGCCATCAGCTTTGTGGCGACAGAACGACAATGCCGCCGAAACACCACCTCCTGATAACCACTACGCTGTGCAGGTCCACACCATGATGTGCTAGGATGCGCCCAGCGTCCCGGTTGTCGTGTAAGTGCAATACGGCTCCCTGAATATGTCGTCCCTGATCAAAATGCTGCACAGAACGGTCCTCAGAAGTCGCAACTTCGTCCTCGAGCATCGCCGTCGCTGCCAGCACTGCTCTCTGTCAGCCTTCAGATGAATTACCACTGCTCCAGTAGCTGCCAATTGTGCTTCTTCTCTTTTATCTAGCTCTCCGAAGCTTGATGCTCCGAGAATGAATCTGGCAATTTTTCGGCGGTGGGCGTCGAGTCCGGCTGGCGATCGCAGCGACCAAACGCAAAAGTATGGCTCTTCTATGAGGGTGTAGGTATGCGCGGACCAACAAACGGCACAAGGTATCCGAACGAACGGTGTGACCACCATTCTTCAAGGGTACGTCTCTGAATTCCTTCGTTACGTATGAAATACTCTTGACCATAGAGGAGACGAGGGCAAAAGTCTGGGATCAACGATATCCCTGTTTGTGATGCATATTGCGACGCGGCGAGACCGTGCTCCTGGCCTTCAATTCAGGCACGATCTGGACAATAAGTGGCAAGGATTGTGCGTCACCTCTGGGTTAGGCGAGCACTGACGTCCCGCGTCTCTTGACTCTTCGTGCTCGCTGGCATCTCTTCTCCTTAGCTTTGGCGGTGCCCACTGCCTTCGGTGTCAGACCAGTCTAGTCGCCGCGTTTAGAAGGAGATTTCGTCGCACATGCCCAGGCACGACGACAGACAAATTGAACAACCTATTTCTGCCGTCTCAGCGGTGCAGTAGAAAATTATTCCAAGTCTGTCGTTTGCTTTGTGATTACTGTATTGTAACGAGCAGCCTGATTTTGAGCTCAAAAATTGGCCTATAATAGCGATCTGGCAACAAAGCCGCCGCAACCGTATTGTGCCATGACCATCTGCGACAAAGACTGCTGCAGCTAGTCTCCCAAGGGCAGACGCTTAATCACTGCAGCTGCATGGCTTCGCATATACTGTGTATCAAAATGTAGCCGAAAGACAGACCGCCGCAAGTTGACCGGCAGGGTATCTTGTTGCGAGTCATCGCAACATCCTCAGGTCCCGGAGTAACAGGGATGGTCAATGCTTCGTGCGAACCTTCGTAGCCGATGTAATGTTCTTGAAAGATCTCTGGGAGGCCAGTAGATTATTAAGATCAATAAAAGCGCAACTTGCTCAGTCGCACATACATACTATTCGGCCGCGATACCGAACGGCACGCGCAGCATAAAGTGTACGACGGTGCTACTAGGAGGCACCGCTAAGCGACAGGAGACCGGAGTAGACACGTTTGTCCTGGCAGGACAATCGCTGAGTGCGGCTGCTAAAGGCCCTAGATAGTGTCAGGCCGTGAACGCGTACAAGACAAGGTACGTGACGGCCGACGCAGCCGTGGGCGGGCCGTCCTCGTCGGATGCTGCTGTGACATCACCCTTGAAGCTTGAAGCTTGAAGCTTGACACCCTGGAGCCTTTTAGGCCGTGGCAGGCATGGGAGGCAGCACAAGGTGGGGCGTAGCCTGCTGATCTTTCGAGGCAATTTTCTCTCGCGCAGCTGCAGTTTATGAATGGCCCCTGCGAGCGACGATCCACCAGGGCGCCAGCAGTCAAATTGGCGGCAAGGCTGAAAGGCAATCCAGCGAAATCAGGGCTTCCGCTCGCGTCTAATTCCGCCGAAGATGGAGCGGAAGCTCGGCCAAGTGACTCGACTTCAAAATCGCGAAGCACGAAGACCCGGCTTCGGACGACGAAGGGGCTTCGGCAAAGACTGGGCATATGATGTAGCATGAGCAGAGGAGGACTCGCAGCGATCCAGTGACTCGAAATATGAGCGGGGCTACGGCAGTCAGCTGCTCCTGAGCAGTAATTCCGGAAACGGTTCTCGAAAAATGCTTTTACAAAAACGCCGGCGCCTATTGCAGACACGGAACAGATCTATCTCGGGACCAGAGTGAATTACGTCTTCTTGAGCAGGAGTTCGCGCGCCATCGGCAGTGTGTCGCGGCCAAGTTGTAGATGCAATGTGCCGTGCAAACGGGACATATCGGATGTACTGCTCTCAGATCGTAGGAACTACGAGCCTGTCTGATCAGCGACGTCGTTTGACGACGTCAAGTAGAGTGCTAGAATATGGTTACACGATATCTCAAACATACCCCGAAAAGAAGCTAGATCAAGTCCTCATGGCTGTGGCGTAAGCAGCCAGTATGTATACTGGTCTGCGCCGGCATTGCAAGTCGTCGCGACGGATAAGATCAAGGGCTGATATTCACTAGTAAAACATCATCTCATGTTTCGTTCATTGTGATAGGGCCTTCTCGGTCCAAAGGTTCGTTGATGAACAACATCTGTTATAGATGTTCGTCTCAGAGAAATTTTGAGGTGATAACAATGACATGCGTACACCATTCCTCCGAGGCCCGTGCAGCCCAGGCGAGCACTCCGACATGAGGAGACCGCCAGGGCATGTCTCCTCCGAGATGACCCTCTCCACGGCCATAACGAGCAGAACATAGTGCCTGCTCCGCCGAGCGGGCTGGCGAGCCCCGGCCTGACCCGATCTAGATTCAGAACGATGACGCCAGACCACGACTAGAATAGTCGTGTCCTGCGCCTCGGTCATTATTTGAGGAATACCCCAAAAATCTGCGCTGAGGAGCAGGCAGTGGTGCGAGGCATGTATGGCTACAGATGGCAGTCATGCAACAGCAGACGAAACCTGTCAGATCTGCGTATTTCCCACGAATTCCCAAGTTGTGAGGGCGTAGGCGCTTCAGCTTCAGAGCGGAGTCCGTTGGTTCGCAGCCTGTACATCCTCGTTCTGCCACTCACTTGACCGCTTGCCTCCCCTCGGAAATCGAAGCAAACCTCGGCTGCAGATGGAGAGCCCGCTACACTTCCCGAGACCATGGTTTCCGCGACGTTTCTTCGTGGAAGGGGAGCGCTTCGCGATCCTGCCTATATAAGATCCTCGGGAGACTGTTCTTGCTACGCAGCATACCGGCGGAGTGCAAGCAGTGTTGCGGCGGTGTTGCATGTCTAGGTATGTTCCAGAGCGGGAGTTACAACAGCTAGTATATAATCCGTCGGGGTAAACGCAGGCCAACGACGTCAATCAACGTAGTTCCATCCTCGAATACCCGCCTCCTCAATCATAGCCTCATCGTTCCAAGCCTGGTATGTGTGGTCATCCACTATTTCCAGGATATGATCCCTGACCGTCAATGATATAGAACCATGGCGGGTCTAGTCGACCTCCCAATCGAGCTACACCTTGTCGTCTTGTCCTTCCTCCCCCTCCCAGCTCTTCTAGCTGCACGCAACACATGTCAGCATTGGCGTCACCTCGTCCCCCTGGCGCCACTACCCCACACGCGTCGCAAGCTCCTTTGTCTGTTCGACACCCTCTGTACAATTCCCTCCTTCGAAGTCTCGAGACGCACGGCCAAGGGGCACCTGCAATCGGACTTCGGAGACGCGGCCCGGAGGTCGTATGTAGCTTCCTTGCCGAAGGACACAGGAGACGAGTTCAAGACCTGGATACTCGAATGGCCAGACGACGCGGTCGTCGCCGCTCTCTGGCCCGCTCTCGACAAGTCCTACAACATGAGCAACACCACCTTCCCCCACCGCCTCGACATCTGTAACCGCATGCCTACCCCATCATATGCGCCGCAGACGCACACCCTGTCGCTTTCGCTCTACGCTGAGCGCGGCTGCGGCCCCGCGAACGTGGTCGCGCTGCCTCTGTTCGACGAGGGCAACGGCTGGACGCATTGGGTTGTGTTGTCGGGTGAGCAGGAGATGCTCGACGCCCGTGGTAAAAACACGCGCATCGACCTGCGCGGCGCCGTCTTCAGCAAGATACGTAGTGCCGAGGCCGACGAAAGATACGCAGGATTCCTCGAGTCGCCGTCACCCTCGGACTGCCCGTCTTCCGTCATTACCTCCCCTCGACCCGACTCCGGCTCCCACTGTCGTTGTCCCGAAGAGTCTTTGCTGTCTCCTGCTGGCCCAGAGACCTGGGGTCCGTGGTATCGTTATCTGGAGCAGGAGACAAGAAAATTGCAGACGTCTATGGAGGAGTATGGTGCTTGGTGTGGATGCCTCAGCTGTCGGACTTCCTGATCTTACTAATTAATCTCTAAGTCTGCTGTAATTTCCTCCACTCGCCAGATTTTCTTCGTCTCCAGTTCTCACTGCTCACGTCCGTGTACCACGTCGTATTTTCTCACAACATCACCACCTGTACAAGCATATTTTATACGCCGGCTTTCCAGCTTGGACTCAATACAGCATTCTCGCCGTTTTTCATTCGCATTCAGTATATGACTATACTGGCTGAGACACTCCGTCGATGCATACAAGGTAAAAATTGACATTCTCAGGCACGACTGCATTCAACGTCCTGAGAGAACACGGGAACGTGTTCACCGCGCCGGTTCTCAAGCCTGTCGTGCGTGGTTAGAGGCTTTCCTCCAAATGTCGCGGGTGCCAGTGAGTCTTAACATGCCACTCAGCTTCAGGCCCGAGCTAATACTCGCGAAGGAGATTGCCCAGGTGCTGGAAGGCCGTCCTCGACGCCGCGGAAATCAGCAGCAGGGCGCTTATGAGTACGGTATATGCGCGCGCTTCTGGCTGCTGAACGTGAACACGCCCTTCGAGGCGAGGTTTACGAACCTAAGAAAATGTCCGCCAAATTTTTACACGCTTGCCCTCGAAATAAATCAGGTCATCGCTGATGTACGGGCTGGACAACCCATGTTCAAGCATCCAGGCTGGTGCGTTAGCCGTTTCACTGTACGCATCATCGGTCTGCTAACTGGCATCTAAAGTCGTCGCTCGTACATGCGATCAGCTAAGTAGCTTTTAGATGATGGCGTCACTTCTTTCGTCTTATCTCTTCTATTTGTGCGGGGTTTATTCGAATATTCTAAACTGGGGTGCGCCATGCAGGGCAAGGCTACTCGTTATGGATGCTCGTCTGCCGCATTTGCCCAGCGGTGGGCCACACTTTCAAAGCACGTGGCGCATGGCTCACTTTGTTGGGGACGTCCAACACAGTAATAACCCCAACCTGTCCTTCTCCACCATCTCCTGCCCCCACCGCGACTCGCCCGCCGTCATGCGCTGGACCTGGACAGAGCCCGAAATGCCCGACAGGCGAACGGATCCTCAGGCCTCAGTACTCAGTCCCGGGAGGCTACTTAGCAGCGAGACTTCGAGCAATGCTACGGTTCAGGAAGCCCGCCTCGCCTCTGTGATATGATTTCCTCATCCACCGTAGGCAAACTTGCCACATCCGACCATAGCGCTATGTCGTACGAACAAAACCGCCGCATGCTGTGCCGCTACCAAGAGAAAGTCGTCCGCTACATAGTAGGCGCATTTGCGTAGCTTCAGTTTGAGCAAAAGTGGCGGGTGTCAACTCAGGATAAGCGGAGGAGATAATTCTCGAGGGGATCGTTGACTCATTCGGCAGTGTGCTCGAGATGAAGTTAAAGCGCATGTGGTGCCCGGACTCATCGCTCAAGCACCTTGCGGCACAAGATGGTGACGTCTATATCCGGACCTTCAAAGCCCTACTCCCATCCGACATTGGCGCAACGATCCAAGAGCCTCTGTCGATTCCTTGTCAGGTTGTCGACGGCATTCCCACGTTAACCGAGGAAGATCAGGCCCGCACTGGCTATCCCATGCTCGCACTTCAACTAGCATTGTTCAGGAATGAATGCGTGACGGCCATTCTGGTCAAAATACTGTCGGCATTCGTGCGTCTGCTCTGTCACACACATGCTCACATCCCCGTCAAAGCTAACCGAGACTTCATTAGTGTGGCTACCCGCATTCGAACAGGCGTATTCTGCTCAGGGGAACCAAGCCCAAGACTACTGGACCACTTGCACCACTCCTGCCGCTGTACATGGAATATTGCCGGAAGCAATACAAGGATATCGCAAAGGGCGGACACGGCAAAACCATCATAACGTCCGAGTGCTTTTGGTGCGGTGTCCCCAAATGCGATCTCTCAGAAGGGCATAAACTCCTCGAGTGCCCGCCCTGCGAGAAGGTAGGCCGTAAGATCGCATACTGCTCCAAGTAAGCCTTGCCATGCCCGTCATTCGGATCATGAAGCTGAGCGAGACGCTTACAGAGAGTGCCAGTACGCAGATTGGAAGCGCGCAACACCAGAGCCGCACAAGGTATTGTGCGGGAAGGTTTGATCATCCGACTTAGACTTGCCAGCCAGGTCCGGCCGCTGCCAGTAATATGCCCGGGACTGGCAATCACACCAAATTCCACCGAATATGGGGTGTACTCACCGGCACCCACTAGTATACACATCTGGAAAAAGACATTTTGCTGGACCCACCTGCCAGCAACCTGTGCCATCTGGGACCAAATAGACTGGTTTGTATCAGGGGACAAAATACAGATGGGCACATACCAGGGTGCAATGTCTATCTTGGTCTGTACCATTCAGACCAGCTAGACAATAGTATAGACGCACAAGACCAGTAGCAGCATCACACGGACAGAAATGCTTGGTATAGTATGGGCGGCTTGTTTCTGTGCCCCTTAAAATTTAGCTAACATAGAGTACAAGACTGCTGGTGATATTCGCAGCAAGAATAAAAGGCTTGAACTGTGTCAGTCCAGTTGCTGTGCATGCGGCGAGCAAGTGCAGAATTGCCTGCCCTAAACCACTGGCGCGCGTCCTTTTAGTCCGCCGTGTGTTGGCCATCTCGTCTCTCATGCTCTTATATCTACTCTCTCTCCGAGACCATCAAACATCCAACACGCACTAAACGGTGGAGTCAGGAGGTGGACAAGATGCAGAGCTACCATTTCTTGCTCACTGCACCCACTGCGCTCGACTGTTTCAATCCTGCCCGACTCTTCCCAGCTAGCAGCAACTGCTGGCGGGGTCTTCGAAGCACTGCTCGTCGCAGCCGCTGAACATCGTGCACCTCTCGGCATCACTGTGACCAGTCACTCAATGTGACCAAGATATCAACTCACCGTGATGGCGCAGGCTTGTCGGGTGGCCCAGCGTTGTCCGAGTCCACCATGTTGTGAGCGATCCCGGCCCCGCAGCCCACGCAGACTCAAAGATCTCGAAGGTCAGCGGGAGGCTGGTTGTGATAACCATATTGTTGGCAACATTTGAGGTATGTGGCAGTGTGGCTCAGTTGTCAGGTTGGACTGACCGATTCCCTAGGTGCAACATGATTCGGTCCCATGAGTAGACGGCACAAGACACGGATGAGCTCAAACTTATCTGTGGTTAAATGGGAGACCCACATCGAAGCCAGTGAGTCCCAGCTCTGTGGCCACCACGCTGACAGCCTTTCGTATTCCCCATCCATATTGATCTCGGCGTGGCTACATCATCATGGACCGAGCCGCGTCACTTTTTGATTCATGTATCATGATCTGTTCCTCCACTGCCTGCTTTTATACCAGTATCTGACTGACCATCTCATTGCAGATTTTGACAGGTCTGCTGGCTCCTGTGGAGAGCCAAGTGCATGGAGATGTACGCGGCTGTTGCTAGGTAGATGTACATTGATACTCTCACATGATCAGTAATACTGTGGCCTGTTAGACTTTTACTTGTACCTTGTTCATATCACCGTAATCGATGCGATTTTTTGGCTATCCCAGCGCAAACAACTACAGTGGCTGCTGTGTGAATTTATTACCTAGTTGGGAAAGTGGATGTGGTTTCTGCCGCGTTGTCCAAATATGTTGCAGTACAGCATGGCCTAGACATGCACATACCATATGCAAGCGAGTACAGATGACATTAGTAGTGCTATGTTTAGTCCAACACAGTATAGACTGGTACGGCATCTGCAGTGGTTGGTCTGGATGGTCCAGCTCAGGGGGTTGTGTCCAGAGGTCCGAGTGGTATGGGCTGGTCTATTTGCCACATTCCACTTCGCATTTTTCCAGATGCAGTGAAGTCCAGTGCTAGTCTCCAGTGGCTGCTGCTGTTGGCTGGTGGGTAACAGTGAGTAACAGTGGGTGGCAGTGAGACACACTGGATCCTGCTGGGCTTCGCAGGTTGCCACCGGCTACCGGCACACATCACCAGTGATTTTCATCAAACATTGCTCAAAACCACTGGCGTATCAAGTACCAATATAAACACAAATATTCTTTCGTAATAAGCTTGATACATGCTTAGCCACCAGCACCTGTATAGATGCCTATTCTCCTCTGAATTGCACACTATCCCAGAACTCAGCTCTCACTGAAGTGTCTCTATGCAGTACACTGTCTGAGTGCAAAAGGTGTGTAAAATTGATTGCCGAATGTGTCCTCAAGTGGAAGTAGTTGTAAGTAATTCTTTGAGGCATATTGTACTACACAGATCTGGTTAGAGACTTCTGAGATTTTTTATAAACTTTCTACAAGCTCAGGAATGAGCTATCAAGCAGTGGGATCAGGCTGCCAGCAGTCACATTAATATCTCAACAGCTATAAACCTTGTTGTTGTGATTCTCAGGAAAATATATATTTTCTAAGTGAGAATATGTGTAATATAAACCATCTATGCACAAAGCATGAGACCAAACCTGCCAGATACTAGTCTTAAAATGATTTGTTCATGAGAGTTAGCTCAACCTGGAAAGCAAGTCACACACCATGGTCCAATGTCATACACTTCTACCCAAAGACCAGTGAAAAATGACAAAAATTATTATTTAATGACACATAATAACAATAAACAGCATATGTTGATGGATAGTGGCCACTGCCTGCCAGTGGATGTCACTGGTGTTTGGTGGTGTTTGCCACCTGCCATGTAAATTGGCTGAACTAAATACCAGTGGCAGCCAGGGTGGCATGCTGAACACTAGTATATCCCAACATATCCCATTATTTGCCACTGATATACAGCAATATTTACCAGTTGCTGCTGTATTCTGATGGGTTCCAGTGAACAATAAACAGTGGTGTTAACAAGCACCCACAGCAATGCACCCATATATGGCAAGGTCATGTTTGGTGATGGCAAGCTTAGTGCTTGCCCTTAAGTGTGATTCTCCCATCAAGAAAGATAGTTTACAGATGCTAGTTCCATCAACAAGCAGAGTATTGTTGTGCAACAACTATTTGCAGCTGCATGAGCACAAACTGGCAATGAGCATGCATGCATGATCTAATACACACAGAAGTTAGTTTGAGTGTGAAGAAAAAAGAGCATGCTGTTATAGTCTAATCTAATACACATGGGAGTTAGCTATACAGTGGGTAGTAAGCATATGGCATACTGCAAGGGCAATGCAAGGGACTTACTCTGAGTGCAAAGGAAAAAGAGCACACAGAGTGGGGACAAGGGGAGGAGTCCTTATATATGCTAAAGAAACAAAATTGATAGTCTGATGGAATGGAGAAGTCTGCACTAAATGAGTCCATGTATGAGAGCACTATATATAATTGTCCAATCACTATCTACATATTAGCAGCGCCTAATCTATGATGTCCACCTTAAGTCCATGCTGAGCAGAACACCAAGCCAGAGCCACTAGGCACTTCAACACAAAGCAGTAGTTACAGCAGGTATAAAAATGAAATGGTATATTGTTAATCAGTCAGAGTAGCGCCATCTTGAATTGGTTCAGGCTTGGGCAACTCTGGGCCCTTAACGAGGCAAACTATGTCCAGAAGTTCTGAACTGGCTGTTCATTTGTCCCATCTATTCTTCATACCTGATGCAGTCTTTGGTGAGTAGCAATAGACATTACAGTGTAACAGTACAATGTCTTCAATGCCAATGTTGTCTGCACTAAGGTTGGGGTTCTTAACAGGTGGATCATCCTCGTGACCATTGAAAATGTGCTGATAATGAAGGCTCTGGTGCAGAATAGCAGGTTAGACTGTGTAAATAATTTGTGATGTCTGATGTACCACAGATGCTTGGTCATCACAAGTGCTTACCATCTGCCAGCAGGAAGCCCAAACTGTGGTACGGTTCTCCACTTCTGTAAGGCAGTTAGTAAAGACTGATGGGGGAAGAATTCATTACATATGAGTGGGTTGACTGTGCATGTTCAAAAGCTGGTTGTAGACATGTAGATCGCTGTCTTGAAGAGGTACAACACCAATGTTAACATGCTTGACAGGCTCACCACATTTGGTGAAGAACCAGAATAAGCAGACCTTGCCAATGATGGTCACATGAACAGGCTTGTTTGACAAACATCAGAATTTTGGAGTGTCACTAGGAGAGAACTGTGACTTGTGCAGCAATAGGATACTTACAGCTGGTGACATTATCATGTGTACTGTACTTTTATGACCACACTGGATAAAAGTGCCCAAAATGAGTTTTTCTGACAACTTGTCAAAATCGCCATAAATCGAGAGAATATTATTGGCAGTGTTTGGAAAAGCAGTGTGATGTGTGACATCCGGTACAATTGTAAAAGTACACTAGTGTAAGACATGATGTGTCTATAGAGTCAAAACTGATGAAACAAGAAAAGATACACAGAAATGAAACATACCCCATTGCTTTATGCGTGAGACTACCTGGGTTGCTGAACCTGTTCAGTTCCATAGGATAGTCTTCAGGTAGTGTTGTCTCAGCAGGGGTTATTGTGCCTGTGATGTGCAGAGGTTCTCTATGTTGAATCGGGGCTTTAAACTTGATCAGTGGACAGGGTTTTGATGACAAAAGAAATTAGACACATACTGACTGGCTATGTTCTCATTGAGAACCTTGTCTGGGATGGAAAGAACGACTTTGTCTCCAATGACAGATGGAATATCACTGTGACAAACATGTTGTCAATAATAATACTAGAAGAAAAAACAATTCTCAAGCATGGTGCATAGGGCAGATTGGCATTGATGGGATTGTGGCATTTATCCAACATTGTATGTACATCCAGTTTTTAATCTAGCACTGACTAATTTCTTTCAGTGTCAAGATTCAAAGTCATTTGATGCCCTTGGTGATAAGGTGAGCACACACTGTCTGATATCATATCCATCTATGCTTACCTGGATCAAGTTCACTGCTCACAGATGTAGAAAACGAGAAGCCTCTTCCTTTGGAAGCTGCTGACCATAATACCAACATGTCCACTCCTTTGGACAATAGTGTTAATGGCAACGAGATGGCACCTCCTCTAGAGCCAGCTGTTCCTGTTAAAGATCATCTGACTGCCATAGTAATCATAGATCCTGTGAGCATGTTGACAATGAAGGATTTACAAGATGTGTTGTGTAAGTGATGGATTGTTTCATGTGTCATGCTGTATGCCAACTGTTAAATGTCAAAAGATGTTTTGTTTGATAAGGCTGTTGAAGTTATCAACTTGATTGCAGCTTCAGAATTGTTATGTATGATCATGTGTGCTAGTGTGGCAATGTGCAACTTGTGCCTTTACAAGCTGCAGATGCAAAAAGTTCAGGTGGTTGGGTGTCACCAATTCAGGGATGTACTGGCTGCATGCAAACCTGATACCAATACTGCACACGTATCTTGTGTCGCAGTGCAACTTCAGTCACTGTGTTTTTGGCACACAATGATGTGCAGCATAAAGCATGACATTGCCCTGAATGGCATGTAGGTCAGAATCCATCATGTAGGGTGTATATACATCTGTCATTTGCCCTGAATAGTGCAAAAATAGAGTGTATGTTGGGCCGCCATACACAACAGAAGTCGTGAGCAGCATGTCCGGAATATATCTCAAATGTCATATATGTTGGTTGCTATCTTGCATCTAGCTTGGCCCACATAAGTGGCATTCATCATAAATAGATTGTCACATCTGTGCTACATATACAGCCAATATCATACGAGATCCACTGCAATATTAACAGAATTTATCATATGATCTAATCAAGCGCTGATGCGCCAGTATGCCGCCTCCTGCCCTGAGCATGACATGACCGTACTTCTCCATAGTACTGCTGGTGTGAACAGCCTACAATGATGTTTGCATCAGCTGTTAGTTATGCACTAAAAGATATACAACTCACTGACTGAACATGACACGCTGGCAAGTTCTTGCATTGGCCAGCGTTCCCAGGACCCACATGAACAGCAGAGGCAAATCAAGGTGTATCACCACTTGTGCCTAGTCAATGGTAGTGTTCTTCACAACACATAAGACACTACGGTAGTCTCAGGTGCTATGCGAGTCGTCTTGAATGGTACTGCAGAAAATTGCATGACCTGTCAGCACCAGTAGGCAAATAAAGCAAAGTGTAGAGGACATACTGGTTCAGGATTCTTTCTCTCTACGCTCTTCATCTGGTTACTCTCTAACCTCCGTAACCAAGCATGAGTGGCCGCCCACTCAGTGGCAAAATAGACCTAGCAGCCATGTGGAGTATGCTGGATTCTGTGCCACCTCATGGTGTAGGATTAATGCATCAAACATAGGAAAGGATCACTATGGCTCATGCTATGACAGTGGATATAGGATCTGGCTGAGGGCAATGCATCATCCATATAGGGTCTTACCCTGGGTCTTGTAGCCAGCACTGTGGCAACCTTCCTTATTAGGCTGGCCTGGTATTGTAGAGCTGTACAGCTGCTTATAAAGTACATACTATTCAAATTTGATAGATGTAACCAATGCGGGTACTTGCTTTGGCATATTTCTCCCACAGTCTCACCATGTAAGGGCCATACTCCTCCAAAAACAGCTAAAAAGAGTCTTGTACATTGAAGCGGCACGGTATCAGGTTACAATAGCTAAGGCAAGGGATCTAGCAGCAAGAACAGCGGCTATGAGGAGTATATACATGTCGAGTCAGCTCAATACTAGCATAGGGCTGTGCCGGACATCACAGATGCCGTGCCCGCTTCCTTGTCGATTCTACCACTGTAGCTGCACTGCGCTTGTGGGCTACAATTTCTGAATATAATGAAGAAACATTCCATTGGAAGTAGCACTTTGGGGGTCAGTTCACTTCCTTGTGCAAATCTGCCTAACTCTTTAGAGTCTTCAATGTTTAAGCTACTAACTTAAAATTTGGTCCATACATACTACTAGTATAGATCTACATATAAAAAATTACTTGATCATATACAGATCAGTTTTGGCTTTTCAGCACTGTGTTTTGTGCTTGAGCTCAGGACTTAGACAAATTTCACAGATAGACCATTTTCAAAAGGCACAACATCCAGATTATCTTTATACCATCAGATAGAGCCTGTCAATAGGGTCCAGAATATGTAGGAATATATGCCAAATTAATTGTTTAAAGGAGTGAAATAAGAAGAACAAAGCACGAGAAAACACTAGAATAAGCACCTGATAAACGCCACAGTGCATTTTGCCTTCTTCATCACTTCTACTCTTTCTCACATATCTTTGCCTATAAATACCATATATTCTGAGGTTCACTATATATATGTCATCTATTTTATATACTATGGGAGTAGTTTATGGCCATGTTCAATGATAAAGTGCTTGCCACTGGTCTTGAACCTTAGTACATAGTTTTACACAATGAATTGTAGGCTTCAAAGTCAATGGAATCTTTTGATTATCTTATTGCGGGGTCTCTACAGTACTATTAACAGGCATGAATATATATAGGAATATTGCAATTTGTTTGGAATTAACAACAATTGTTCACATGCTTTGCACTCTTAGTGCTCTCTACAAAGCGATACTTAGTCATAATTCACAAGTATATTCAAGGCACATCTATTACAATGTCTGCAAAGTATTATATGCTAATATTACTCATATAAGTCATAATACAGCATATAGTCATTATCTTGTGCACAAAATTTAATCTTTTCAGCTTCCAGACTCAGTAGCTGTTTTACTCTATTCTGCCACCTCAAAATTTCCATACATATCTTATAGAAATATTTAGTCTCACTATCTGTCATAGTTTCACTTTATTTCAATGCTCAAAACTGGAAATTTTCGAAATAAAAAGCTCTCCCAGTCAGGATTGAACTTCTAACCTCTAACCAACTACTTATGTTAACCTCACTTGCCAAGGCATGCAAGTCAGCAGAAAGGAAGAACTTATCCTTGAACACTGCCAGAGACTCAATTAGAGCTGAGCTACATGAGATGAAACCCTGTAGAGTTTCCTCTGCATACCAATGAGGTACTGAGATTCATGAGCTGTGTAGCTATATGCTTGGACTATTAGAGGACTTCTGGCACAAGGAATACACATGCACATCATGTGGAACCAGTGAGATAATTGGTAGAAGCAAGAATATAACCTGTTCTGACTTGCTTCTTGTATATTCCTCATACAGATGGCAGAGGCAAGGCATCATGAGTTGACTTGTTGATAAGAGAACTCCACTAGAGTTGTTACATGCCAACACAAGACAAATAGCCAATGCGACATGCAGTAGCTGTGGTATCAAGCTAGTGAAGAAGGTAATCACAGATAATATGCCTCAACTCCTTAAGTTCAAAGTTGATGAAGTTACTGTCAAGTAGACTCCTATACTGGACTTGGACAGGTACAAGTACAGGCTATGTAGATTTATTTATTATGGCAATGAGCACTTTACAGCAAGGATAGTTAGTGCTGATGACCAAGTATGGTATAATGATGGATTGAAGTATGATAGTATATATTACTTAGAATCTCAGCTTTGTAATATGACACCAGCCCAACTTGCCAATAGTCCAGATGGGTATAAGCTGGCCTTTGAATTTTACAATCAGATGTTGTAAATAAACAATATAATAGTCTGTAAGTTGTTATTATTGTTTATGTGATAGGCACATTATTCATAAGATTCACATAATAAAATGAAGGATTGCTGTTAATGTATTTTGCAAAGTGATAAAGTGATAAATACTGCATATAGTTCTAAGCCTCATATAAATGGTAAAATATTATAATATCTGAGTTATTATTATTTATGTTGCAGTATAAAAGAAATGAAGAAATTGTATCCACCAAGCATATATGCTATAGCTCACATAATCCTAGTATGAAATGGGCCCTTGAGCAAAATGGAGGTCTTCGTGCATCTGTCAGTGCATTATTTGTTGAGAAATGGGGCTAGTTAGTTAGCTGAGAACTTTGACTGTCATTTTTGTCCTCTTCACTGCTGTCATGTTAAAAAGGCTCAGCAGCATCAACCTATCTCTGATGCACGTTGTACTCTAAGAATCATCCAGATTAAGCCTTTGAGGTGTGGCCTGAATGGTTCTCATCCAGTTGTTCACTGATTGAGTCTATCCATACAATCTGTGCCTCTTCTGATTCAACTGCCTCGTCTCCATAAAGCAGGTTTGCCTCTTGAAGACGGGTTTTTGGGGACTTGCTGTGATTAGGATGTACATTCTTCTGCACATGTGAGTTCCCTGAGTTTTCACTAGATTGCTGATCCTTGGCGGGCTTGGGTTTTTCCAGCCTATTGTCTTCTTGTTGTTTGAGCCAGCAGACATAAGTCCACTTGCATTGTTGGTATGCCTCTCGTGTCTCTGACAAAAGATGTGGGGGCTCTTCAAACTCTTTTTCAGAGTTAAGTGCGCTCTGCTCTTCTAGCAGGTTCTCCTTGCTGGATGCCAGAGACGGCATATCATTCGGTGTATGTTGCACTCCACTGGGCCCTGCGTCATGCTTGTTGCTTATCACAGGCTCCTGCAAAGGGTCGAGTTGTTGAGCAGCACACTGCAGGTACTTCATCTGGATTAAGACCAGGTCTCATATTCTCTGCCCACATATATCCTGCTCCTTTTCTTCTTGTTCTTATTTAGCTCATTGTCATCGCCTTGCTGACATATTGCTGTCGTGAGCAGTCACAAGTTCTATGCTGATTTGCCCAAGTTCAGTATACATCTTGTTGATTTCACTCATTACTTGAACTGCCAAGGATGCGTCATCCCTCATGTTCTCTTCTTCTCTAGTCGAGTTGTTACTGATGTCTTCTGGGGCTTTTAGATAGAACAAAGCCCCTATGCATGCACTAAGGGATGCATCAGCCTTGTCTTCTGATTGCTTGGTCAGCCAGCTCAGCCAGCTTAGGTCTGTGTGCAACTCTTCTTGTTCTTCATGGGAGTGGTCACGGTTATTACTTGCGGTCTACTGAGAGCTCCTTCCACTCTTCTCTTCCTTTATCACAGTGTTTCCTGTGGTTCTGGGTCAAGCAGAGCTGGGCATTGAAGTCAACGTCCTAGTTTGGGAAGACCTTGATGTGCTGGAACCTTGAATTGCTGGGCTGCCCGTCATTTAATGAGTGGGCTGATGGCAGTCATCGATGCTTCTCCCAGTCCCAGAGTCTCAGTGATTGCTCCCAGGCACTGTTGATATGCCGGTCATCAAGCTTTGTGACATTGATGCGGTACTGAAAAGGTTCGTGTTGGCCTGTGAGCTTTCCGAGGCTGCCTGACAGGGGTTTCTTCAGTAGGGTAGATGATAATTCTACAGAGCGACCATGGTTTTCTCCTGCAATTCTGTAGTGTAGGAGTCAAATAAAGTCTTTAGAGAATTCAAAAAAGTGTAAGGTTGTCGTTGAGATTGGCCTCTCACTTGTACTGCAAATCTGAACCAACTATGTTCATGTCCTAGATATACAATGTACAAGTGAGAGATAGAAAAAAACTACCTAAGCTGAGGCCTCAAGCTTTATGAGCTCGAGATTCTGAAATGCTTATCTGATGAACTGAGCACCTAGAGGGCATACTGCCACATGGTCAGGACATTGTCGGAACTGTGCCTCCTTGGTGATCTGAGGTCGGCCTGCCCAAGTGCCGCTCTTACAATGTATTTACTCTTCTACTGGCTTTCAGCACCATCTAATCTGAAGCTGAGGCTTTAGTACTTCAGTATGAACAATCAAATCCACTGTGACAGGTACTATCTGTAGGAAGATATGTTAGCCTGAAGCTTAGAGTTTGCTCTGCAACTGCTGCAGCAAGAATACTGGCTGGCATGTACACTGTGGAACACAGAGCATTAGTACTCTATGCACCCCCATCATCGGTTCTTCATGGGCGCTCTGATTAAGATTATGAAGGTTTATATGCAATTGTGCCACATACAAGGAGGGCAAGTTTGTCTTGGATTTGTAAAAACAAGATAATGGTGAGCACATAAATATATACCATTGAAATTGTGGCACAGCAAGGCATTCTCATACAATGTACATATACATGTTATGGATACTACAATACTATAGGTGTTTTACTCCAGCTGTGTTGGATTGCAACCTGATCCTAGACAGATGGGACGATCAGTCGCTGCAGATGCAGCAGATACAAAGGCACAACAAGGCATGACCAGTGAGCATGGTGAGCAAAGCAATAAAATACGCACTCGACATTGAATTTTTGTTTCAATTTTCGAGTGTGTTTGCCGGCGCCTCGTGCACACGTTATTTACCCATGTTTGTATTTTACTAACTCCAACTTAGCGCTACGATGCTCGCTCTTGAACCACATCTATCACCTGCGTCCGTGCTTCTCATCCGTGGACATGTGCTGAATGCAGCCTTGTCCCATCTCTCTGGCCCTCCTTTGTGAACATGTGCTGAATGCAGCCTTGTCCAGACTCTCTGGCTCTCCTTCGTAGACGTGCGCTGAATGCAGCCTCGCTCCGTCTCTCTGGCCCTTCTTTGCGGATGTGTGCTGAATACAGCCTCATCCAATATGTCCATGCTCACTCGATGTTTAATCCACTGCATTGGACAACGAGCTTCTGCCTGAGAGAGGACAGGTCTGCCCGTTGGAGTATGTTGTCATCTAGGTGCGTGGTGCTCCATGCCTTTTTTTTTTTTTTTACTTTAACTTTTGATTTCTTTCCTTAGGCCCCTTTCAGTAACCCGTGAGTTTTGAACTCGTGTGAGTTTGCAAACTCAGACCCAAGCGCTAGTGTGACCAATAAGTGACAAGCCTGTGACTACATGTGACAGCCATGAAAGCATCGTTCTGCTGTGTCATGCAGGGCGGGGAGCAGGCCTTGAGTTCGTCTGAGGCTGGTGAGTGCAGAAATTATGGTATGGTCCCCTGAAATAGTACTGCTGCAAAGAAATGACAAGCTTGGAAATAACAGCAGTCAAGATGAGTATTGAGAGCTTCAAAGGCAGGACTTTGTGCATTTTTCACTGTTCAGCACAGGCCAGAAGGGTTGCCCTAGGTATCACCCCAGCTGATGCTATGGATGCAGCAGGAACTTGTCTCGGACGGCGGAGGCTTGCTTGCAGACGGAGGGCATCACTTTGACTAAGTGGAATTACATGTGCAAGTGACAGTGGGGTGACTGGGCCGGCATGCTGGAACTCGCGCGAGTTTTCAAACTCACGTGAGTTTCGAAACTCACAGGTTACTGAAAGGGGCCTTAGTTCACTGCCTCACTCGTCGCACCATCATCTGCCCCATCGCATTCGCCCCGGCAGCAGCAGCAGCAGCCAGCAGCCCATTCCAGCCATTCAGGCCCATGCAGGTGCCTGAGCTTGTCGGCTCCCGCCGCTCATCTCCACAAGTTCCACCACCTTCACCTCCTAAACTGATCTTCCCACCTGTGATTGAGCTGCCAGACCAGCAGAACACACGCTCACTCTCACCGCGCTTCTCGTACAATGCTGCGTCCGCCGCCGCCGCCTCTGAGGCAGGCCCATTCTTGCAGCCACTCTTGCTGCACGTCCACACACCCTGCGAAGAGCGCTTTACACTGCTTGCCATGAGCAGGCTCTACCTGTTTCGCCCGCCCTCGCTGGTGCTGGCACCAGCATTGCAGCTGTGCAGAGCAAGTCACCGCCGCTCATGCTCACGCTTGTGCACCCGCTGCTCACTCAGCTTTTCTGAGGATCAGCCCCTGCTGTGGGCATACCCCCTCCCTTTGAACGCCTGCTGCCTGCACGCTCGTGCTAGGAAGGTCAGCTCCTGCTGTGGACATGTGGCCTGTCGAGCAACGTGAAACTTGCACCATGCATGGACTATTTTGCCGTGACAAGACTGGTGAGCAGGCATGGACATGGACATTACCTCAACTGATGATGCTGTGAGATCTGCTAGACCTGCTATCTATATGAGTTCTGTCAGCTTTTTGTCTATTCATTGCCTGCTGACTTCTCACAACTCAACCAGGTTAAGAATGTGTTCCTGACCTCACACCAGCACCATATGTCAGCACCTATCAGCTTGATGGACCCTGTGGTGCACAGTGGTGCATCGTCCTTCCTGCTGCAGCCACCCTGCCATGTGCAGCAATCATGTGAGTGGGAGCTTGAGCCTGGAGTGGCATGGCATAACAGTATAATACTTCTTTAGTAGCTATCAGTAGTAAAACCAATTGAAGTTTATTTGTGCAAAACATTAGCATTTGGTATGCATGAAAGCAGAGCCTGAGTGGCCAAATCCTTATGAACAGCACATTTGCTCTGTCTTATAAGCCATGCATAGATGCTGCAAATTATATAGTATTATATAACTATATAATATACATATATATTATGCAGACTATATAAACCCTACAATTATGACTAAAATTGGCCAGATCGAAAAATGCCACCAATCTATATATACTCTTACTGGGAGTTTGAAATAGTTTAGTGTATCAGAATGGTTTCCAGATTGTGTACGGGTATATGTAAGATTATGAGAAATTCACCAAAAGTCTGATGATGATGATGTGCCTCACACTAAACACATGCATCTTGGCATACAAGTGGATGGTGTTGCCACTGTCATCATTGTAATTGTGCACAGCCTCCTTAATTGTGGCCTTGAATGGGATGGCCTTGTTAACCTTGGCTATGTCACAGAGAGCATCCTTGATGAACGACAGAAGTCATACAACCAATTAGCACTTGTTGGCCAGCTAGTGATTTGACTGGCTCGGCTTGGCCCAGAAGCTGGTGGCTTTGGCTTGGCTTCGCCAGGCTTAGGCTTGCAAAAACCCAAGCCAAGCTGCAAGCCACTGCAAGCCATAAGCCAGTGGCTCGGCTTTGGCTTGGGCCGCAGCTTGCATTCTAATTAGGCAAGTGCTGTGGATTGATCTTGTCAACGGTCCCACAGCTGCCATACATAGACACGCGATCATGTACTGCATATAAATGGTTTTCCTGCAAAGTATAAGGCTTAAATAAATGCTCTGAGATATAATATTGATGTGAAACATCAGTAAAGCCGTTCACAAACTCGAACTTCACATGAACAAGAAAATCATCGCAACACTTGTATTGCTGGCGCATCCTTGCATTATACATCATAACAGCTACTCATATAAGTCCATATCATCGTCGTCTAGAAGGCCAAGGTCCCAAGGTCCCAGAACAGAAGCCTCCTGCGCATTCAAGGTCATCTCAGCAAGATCCTGGGCCAATTCATCCTCCTCCACCAAGGAAGACGGCCCAGGCTCCCGGAATATGAGATCGTGCTTGAGGAGGCACTTCATAAATTGAAGTGCCTCGACGACATCTGCTTTTAACCGGTTGCGCCTTGGGCTGATGGTGATACCTGTCTGGGAAAAGGCTCTCTCACTAGAGACAGAGCTGGCCATGATAGGAAGGAAATCGCGAGCAAGCGACGCCCAAGTGGGGGATCGAGCTGCGTTCAGCTGTGATACCATTTAGCTATGGTGGTGGAGTAAAATCGAAGTACTTACACCCCACCATGTCACAGTAGACATGCCTAGTGGCACGACCTCTTTGCTGATGAGATAGCTGTGGTACTCCTGCCAGTAAGGCTTATCCTGATCGGACAAAGAGCCACCATGCTCTGCTGATGGGTTTTTTATAGCTGAAGCCTCGTCCTCGTCGTCTGAAAGCTCTCTAAGGAGGGTAGATACCTTTCTAGACAGTCTGGGGGCAGAAGCGGAGGCAGTAGATGAACTGGAGCGGTGCAGCTTGTTCCACCGTTCTGCAAACTAATAAAATATCAGAGCAGCATAACAAACAAAATGAAGATGACTTACCACCCTCTCCATGGATTGCTCCGCTTGCAGGCGCAAGTCTGCGGACCAGTGCTTCTTGAAATGCACCCCCTTCTGGTCTGGGGTCAGGTCTACAGAATTGGTCAATTGTGCGCAGGGTAATATATGATTAAACATACACATGGTGACAATGTATGCATCTGAAGTATCTGTGCGATTGTAGTATTCGTCTACCTTTGCAGCAGCAGCCTCCAGAGCAGGGGCAAATCGCATGTACTTGCTTCGCTCAGCACGCGAAGACCAAGCCTTGTACAATGCTTCCAAAGCCGGGAGAGCGAGGTTGTCACAAATTCACCCCATACAAGCGCCTATTATATTCTTAGCGCTCATCATCGCGCTAAACACGATCACGTGACCTACACGGTCACATGCATATCACGGGACCTAGATCATCATATAGATATGATGGGATCAGTAGATAAGATAACCACAAGTCCAGAACTCGTTCTAGACCAGTCACATGTCATGACATCATGAATGATGTCACCTGGTAGATAGCTTAACCTAATGGAGATACTCCAACGGTCATTATTCCTTGTATTACTAAACATAATGGTAGTGTATTAGTAACGAGTCACGAGTAGTCACATGAGCACTTAGTAATGTAGAGTACCATAGGTCCTACGTAGTGTCAGGGGTCTTAGATTACTTGTATATAAGGAGCGTAGTCTGAGGCTTAAGACCTCAGACTCAACAACTTCGTTGATTCTTTATATCTGCACCTCTCTCTACTTACACCCCTCGACTTCAAGTCCTACCCTTCAAGTCTATCAGTAAGGTGAGTATAGGAGTTGTGATAGAGGTGTAGGGTGGAATCCTTCTCTGACGAGAAGGACTGCTGCGCGTAGTCAGATTGCTAGTAAAAAAAACAGCAAGAACAGCAGATAACAAGCACAAGAGGGGTTTTGTACCCCAAGAAGTCCAAGAAAGAGCGACGCATTTTGCCACTCAAAAGATGAAAGCTTAAGACTATCGATCTTGCGCCGCTTGTTGAGGTTTGTCTCCTTGATACCAATCTCGTATATGAAGACATCAATGTGCTACTCCAATACTACTGAGCATCAATATAGGATAGTGATCAGTGTGTACACATACCTCTTTACAAGCTTCTGCCCGATGCAGCATCATGTAGGTGGATGACCATCGCACTTTCATATCTAGAATGAGCTGGAGTGGCCGTGAAACAGCCATGCGCCACTGAATGTCGAGGAACAGCTCCTTTCTGATAGCAGAGGAGCGTTCCTGTAGCCAGGATATTGCTGTTTAAGCATACGAGAAAACAAAAATAAAATATCATGCGCACCTTTACTGCTATCGCGCGAATCAGTCCGATCTCATCTCGCAAAGACGAAACTGAATCCTCAACCGTACTTGGGTCATGAAGATTATAATGAGGTACCGAGCTGTAAGTGGAGATGAGGGCTTGCGTTGCCAGATTGATGACATGTGCAAGGCAGCTGAAAACCAATGGTATTAGCTTGATGAAGCAGTAGATAGCACAGTGGCTTACTTAATACGCCATGCAACTGGACCCCAGTCTATACCAGTCTTCCGTTCCACCTGCCGTGAAAACTCATCAAGCATCGTGCCATTGTTTGAGGCATTATCACAGGTTATATGTCCGATCTTTGGAACAAGAATCAGCTGAGTACTTCAAAGGTATTTGAAATGCACTGGCTTACCCGATGGGCGAAACCAAGACGATCTACCACTTTGAAAAGAGCTTGCCCCAGTCGTTCGCCGTTGTGCGCATTGTTGAGACGAGTGAAGCCAATTAGACAGCTAATGAGCTTCCAGCTGGCATCACTAGTGATGTGCGGGCCGGGCCTCAAAGCCCGCGAGCCCGCCAAGCCCGGCCCAAAAAGCCTGACCCGAGCCAAGCCTGGCAGCGGGCTCAAGGCCGGGCTCGGAGCATAGTCAAGCCCAAGCCCGGCCCGGAAGCCCAGGCTTGGGTGTACCGGCTCTGTTACTGTTCCCTGAGTTCAGGATAAGGTGGGAGAGATCTAAGATGTACATACCAGACATAATATTGATATTCAAGACTCGACGGTTCCCGCCGAGCACAATTGTGCATCACCGTTTGGTGCTTGCCGTAGGCGCGCACTCGTGGGCTTCGCTGCGACTTGACTTATTCCCCGAGTGTACATCTTCTGGAGGCTGAATTCAGTGAGTACACGCGGTAATAATCTACTACATCCAAATATACTCCCTTTTTATAGCACCATAATATTCATTGTATTGTGAGCAAGCCCGGGCTTAAGCCTGCGGCTTGGGCCGGGCTCGGGCTCAGGGCTCGGCTCGACACTGCCACAAGCCCAAGCCCGGGCTTTGAGCCCAAGCTGGGCCCGCACATCACTAGGCATCACTCTGCTTCTCAATGAAGTGGCCAGTCACCGCAAAGTAGGCATCCAGATTGGAGGCTTGCCAGGCATCACAGGTGAGGCTGATCTTGCCAGTAACAGCATTGCACTACAAGTCATATTAAAGTGATATCTTAAAAGAGTTCCAGTGTTTAAACTCACCATAAAGCGAGCCTTGAGACCTGCCATCTGTTCGTAGAAGCATTCCAGGATTTCCTTGCGAGCAGCTTTTCGATTTGGGATCTTGACACCATTTGTAGCTTGTGCCGCAACTTGGATCATGCGGCGGAAGGCAGGGTGCTCCAGAGCACCAATTGGCTAATTAAAATTTTAACCTTGAGAACAGCAGAAAATGCACTATCTCTGCGCACCTGGTCTGTCTCAGCAAGCCATTCCACGGCGACCCGCTTGAAGACAAGTTCAGAGTAGCGGATAACCCTCTCCTCCTTTGGCATATCTTGCAGATGGGTTTCAAGCATCTTCTGCTCAAGTTTGATGGTCTCAAGGGATGCCTTGCGCTCGTTAATATCTCCATGAAGCTTGGACTCGAAATTATTCTTCTTTGCCCAAGCACGAAACAAAGCCTGAGAGTAGGTAAGCTCTTGAATGAAGAGAAGAGGACATGGTGCATATCAAATGCTTCGTCTCTATGTGGCGCCGCAGATTGGTTATATCTGAGATGATCCACTCTCTGTTACACTCGCGATGAGCTTGAAAGATCTGAATTGGAGAGCACAGAAGTAACTTACTTGCATTGAAGGCACTTGTTGTGCTTCTTGCTGGGCCCTCCCCACCTTCCCAAGTGCTCTTCAGCTGGAGCAAAGAAGTGGTCAACATCCTTGCGTGCATCTGTAGGGTCTATAGCCTGAACCGTTGGCTTGATCTCTTGGACAACGATGTCCGCAAGAAAGCCGTCCTCATTGTAAGCCGCCTTCTCCTGCGCCTTCGTGTCAAACCTGGCCTTCTTAGCTTCTGAAAACGAGATGGTAAGCAGTAGAATGAACGATGAGATGGCATGCTTACTCATTTTCCTGGTCTTTGACCCAGAGAGGGAGCCGCTCTTTGAGTTCTGCAGAGGCGGGGGCTCACTCAATAGCTCGATTTCACTTGATTCATCAGATGCATCGTCTTCTGAACCAGAGAAAATCAAGTGACGCTTTCCCTCTGGAAAACACGTTAGAAACGGAGGAATTTGAGAAAGTAATCGTCTGGTGACATACTGGTTGCCGCAGGGTGAGATGGTGCGTCTTCTACCTCGTCTACACCGCTGGATTCAGACCTGCGATCTGCTGCCAAGCTCGTCTCGATTAGCGATGTTGGAGTGGTGGCTTGAGGCGAAGAGAGAGCAGTCTCGTCCCTCTGAGCATTCATGTGCTTTGCCACAAGCTTCGCATGATGCTCGTCGAGATCTCCAGGGTTATGCGCTTGGAGAAGCTTTGGAGCAAGCTTAGGGATGTGCTTGTGAGCTGGGAAATTAGCAGGAGTCTGTGAAGGCATGGCGGGCAGATCTGAGAAGGTACTCAGCTCTAGTGCTGTATTTAAGCCTTGTCAAGACTGCGCTTTGTGACAGACAAATTTTGCTTGCCGTGCGGCGAGCTGCTCACCAGACTACGGCTGTTGCAGCCAAGCCACGGCTTCACCAAGCTCAAACCACGGCATCCCTACTTGAAACCTCTCAAAAGATCAGCAGAGTGCATGAACAAAGATGACAGAGCTATGTCGTTGTCGTTGGCATGGACTCTGGGCAGAACCACAGGCAGTGAACGTGTAATTAGCATTCGCGGCTGGCAGACACATGGACATGGGGCGGCCTGAAGTGTCCTGAACACGACTTGTCACTTGGTGACCATGACATTGGTCTATACTTAGTAGAGCAACTTTCATTTTCGCGTTTCATTACAACAGGGAAAGGTATATATTTATCGACGTGCTGACCAAGTTTTTGATGATGTCATAGGGTGGTAGATTTCAATGGAGGCACCGATGAAAGCTACCACCCAATGACATCATTGTTTTGAGTGCTGGCACCCTGCTATGTGCTCTGCTATGTTTCTTCTTGGTGAGGCTCAGTCTCAGCAAAAAAGGATGTGAATTAGAAAATGGATACATACAGGATAGGACAGGACAGTATAATATTTGAGGGATTTATTGCTGATTACTCTAACAGTAGTACTAAATACAGTACATTTATTATCCAAAGCCGCGGCTTGCCGGCTTGGCTTGGCTGGCTTGACATGCAAGCCAAGCCAAAAGCCTGTTCAAGCTGGCACCCTTTGGCTCAGCTTGGCCTGGCTTGTGCAGGCTTGGCTTGGCCCGCTTGCTGGCTTGAAGCCGAGCCAGTCAAATCACTATGGCCAGCAATATGAGCAGCAGTACCTCACATTTTTGAGTGGCTGTCATGCTTGAGCAAGATCTTTTTGCTCTGATTCACTTCTCGAGCTGCTCTATGCATGTCTCAAAACCGTCTTCCACATGCATGTACATCAGATATGTCAGAACTTGGGCGATTACGTAATTGCCCTGTATGGACTAATGGGGATATCATTACATGATCCCTCTATTATCTTGTAGTAATACGACATATGATTACTCATGCTTAGTATACATGCTTACGCGTAGAAGTACCAAAGGTCTTTAGCAGTATCAGAGGTCCTGACTCACATGTATATATACTCGCCCTGTAGCACAGAATAAAGCAAGAGTTCAGTCGCACTTTAACAGGATATGCCCCAACATTGAGAGCCACCTTCAGCCAGTATGCATCTTTAATGTATTGCAATAGGTCTTTGAGAGAACAAGTTTCTCCGCTATCGTCCACTGACACCGCTGCAAGCATACATCATGGTGTGGAGACATTGCAGACACTTACTGTTCCTTGCAAGGTGCTGGTAGATTTGAACGAGGCCATTAATTCTTTTGATCTGGTTTTGAGAGGCTTTACGCTGGCGCTGCCAAACTAATGTCACTGTGCCTAGCACAAACTGCTGCACCACGGGGAGAGGTCCCCGCTTGGTGAACCTAGAGGTACTACTGGTCAAGCCATCCGGCCCGAACAAGATATAAACAAGCGGCCAATTGTCGCAGCTGGGTTGTGGAATTGAACCATCTAGCTCCGTTGGTTTCTGTTCCCAGACTTAGCACTGACAATGATGATGCATAGGTTAAGTTATGCACCTCTGCACTGAGGAGCCAATAGCCCCAACGAAATGTTGCTTGTTGTGCTTCCATCTCCTCGTCAATAGCTTTGGGAAGTTTTCAGACGTGGACGATGCGTTGATTTAGCCAATCAGAAAGCTTCGTGCGGGCAAAACTGTGGTCGTCGCCATTAGTTCTGAGGCAGGAGAAGTCCTCACACTGCGCTCTGGGCCTCTCTCTGTAAGCGTCCCAGAAGAGTCTGATCGCCTCCACGTCCTCCACCGTCAGACCAAGGCGCGGGTTGTTGCCGGCGTCCCACGGGCGGTACTGGGGCCTGTCCTCTCCTGCCACGCAGCCCACTTCCACGGAGCACCATTGAGGTCTACCGCGAGGCGAAGAATAAGTCCCAGATAAGTTGCACAAGGCATGGGGGAGTTGTCGCCCTATTTTTGCCGCCGGTCGCAAGACCGCGAAACATCTAGCCAGACTCGCAGCCAGCCGTCCCGCTGTTGATGCATGCCTTTTTTTCCGATGTGATGGTGGCGGCGTCGCAGTGCAAACTGTGCCCACTAGTACTCGCTAAATAACAATGCAGTTCCTTGGACCGATACAACGATACAAGTAGTGTTGAATAAACACCGGTCCTTCTAGCTACACGCAGGGTATATAATCAAGTCATACAAGTAATTTAAATTAAATATCTGTCCTTCTAGCATCCGAGATGTCCAAATAAATCCTATACCATCTCCTTTCCACTTCCCGAGACCCACAAAACCTACATCCCTTGTTCCACATTAGACGAAGGCAATAGTGACGATATCGCCCTCGACCGAGGCGGAAGCAATAGTAGTGCCGTTCTGGACTGCGATTTCAATGATCGCGTTAGACATGTCGACAGGGCCTGACGAGGTCCCGGCAGATGCAGTAATGCTGACCGTGCCAAAGTCGGCGTAAGGGATGATGTTATTGGAATCGTCAAATTCGGGCGATAGCGACCATGCTACTTCCGCTTGCGAGCAAATAGGGCCAATCTCAATGGCCACGGTGGAGGTCTCGCCTGTGCTCTCGTTGGTTACGACCGCCGTGCTCGACGTCGCATTCGTCATGGTAATGGACACCGTTACGTTGTCGCCCTGCGCGAAGCTAACGTTGGGGAAGAGCTGATTGTTACCATCAGGAAAACTCGTCCAAGAGGCTGCGAGAATATAGATGATTTGTCAGCATGCGAGCGGGAGGGCAAGGAGCGTGGACTGACCATCGATAGACTGTGAACCATTGTCAATCTCCATGTCAATACCAACTATGATGCCGTTCTCGCAGAATTCGGAACCAAAGTCAAATGTGAGGGATGAGAGGTAGAGGCCACTCGGGTCGTCGCCTGCAGGCACAGCAAACGTCGGAATCACGAACGACCCCGCGACGCTCGTGAAGGGCACCTATGTGGAATCAAGTCTGTCAGCACATGCAACACACAGACATAAGAGGAGACTTACCGTAGACGCATTTAACTGGGCGCCGGCCGTGGTGTTGCTGATAATTGGCGCGCCGCCGCCAAAACGACGGGCCATGCGGACATCGCGACGTTCCTTGGGGGCCGGCATCGAGACAGCAGTGGTGGCAGCGAGAGCCAAGATAAAGGAGGTGATGAAGAACATGGCAGTATGAACGATGTAGGGTAGAAAGAGCTATGAGGCTCTCGAGTCAAGTGAGGTGAAAAATCTGTGGTTTGGCTATGGCGGTCGAGAGAGCTTATATACGTCGGAGGCCTGTGCAGCAAGCACCTGCAGCTGCGCGCCATGACGATCCTTGGGTGCTTCATCATGCACAGAGTTTCGCGAGGCGGGGAGGGTCTCCTCACGATTGCGGCCGTTACGATTCAAAATGTCGCACATCAGGGTTTTCAAAGGTTTGATTTAGGTTTGACTGACTTTGATGGCGGTGTTCAGACGTTGGAGGACAACCTGAAAAGGTGCGGTTCCTGAAGCGACGTTTCAGACGGGATCGTGCTAAATTCCGCCCAATACCGTCGTCCAATCGAGGCAGCTCCCGATTGCTGCTCTCACCCTTCTCGAGAACAGCGATCACGGCGTCACACGCGGTGCCCAGGCTCGTCCTGGCTCGTCTCACACCGGGTTTCTGGTGAAACCGGCTGGGCCGTTTCGTCGCAGTTCCGAGTCGCCCAACCAAGGGGGTCAAACAAGCGCCCGGAGGGCCGCCGATGAGTTAGCACTTAGAAAAATCACGCTTCAGCGGTTTCTGGCGAGCACAAAAATCATATTTACATGATAATGGAATAGAAAAATATTAGACATGGTGGAATAGAGTGTTTAGAAACAGGAAATGCAAGCGGGAGATGTATCTACACAGCTGCACGGATGAGACTGTGGGGCTCAAGATCTGGCGGATTTTGTGATTCGGGGAATCGTGATCTTTGAGCGTTGGTTTTTGTCTGAGATTCGTCCGACCGAAATCATGATTCTGGCCAATGCGAAATACGCCCGATCCGAGATCTCCCCACCACAGTTTGGCGCCCACAGAGCCTCAGGCCTCAGAGCACACGTCCGTTCGAGTTGTATTCCGTACTTAGAAGTCCACATTGAACAGTAGGAGACTACATTAGAACACATGTATGATCTCAGCTCGGGTAGTAAGCTGCAATAGATGCCGGAATAACAGGCTACGGGCCGGAGAAAAACTCATCGTCAAGCTCGCTGGTACCTTCGCCCCTCATAGACAGGGCCGGAACGTTGTCGTCGTCGTCCTCAAGGAAACCACCACCTAGATTACCTTCAGGGAAATCCTTTTCGTCCTGAGCTATCATATCTTCTCGCCACCTATTTATCCAAGATGTCAGCAGTATATCAAAGTTATAACACCACGGGACACATACTTAACCCACCCGTCGCTCTCGTAGTTTGTACCAAGGTTCTTCTTCTGATGAAGCTCCTTCATCTCAGCATTGACAGCCTTCCAAAACCCACTGTCAGCCCCACTCTGTCGTTCCGTCTTGGTAAGAGACGATGTGCTCGCACGTGCATCTGACTGGCTTTAGTGAAGAAGCGTACAGGCATCACGACGCTGGTAGTCCCATTAAGGTGGTAAG